AAAAAAATAATATAGATTACAAATAAAATAAGCTATTTCCTTTAAAAGACAAAAAATGCTATATGGTATTAATAGCCCAATATACTACCAGATATAGATTTATAGCTTAATAGGTAGTTCCGATAATAAAAGCATATTGTATTAAATGCGGTTGTATTATAATATATTCAGATATCGGAGAAAGAGAGGTATAATACGGATAGCCAGAGCTAAATATAGTATATATAGTTATATGAGTAACTATGCCTGCAGTTGCTATATAACAAAGCGGTTAAGATTTATTATTTGCAAATATTTGGAATCTGTTTATTAAATCAAGATTATAAAATCTCTTGTAAATATTCTCCTATAGTATAGGGTCAAATATAAGGGTTCGAGCAAGTTTGAAAATTGCTAGCTTATAATATTCTTTCCATTTCAGTTTTAAGATTGAATAGTACTATATATAGAAGTAAAATACAAATTAATTACTCTAATATCGGCTGGATTATAGATTATATAAAATCGTAAGTATTTGCAGATAGCCAGTTAGAGAAATATTAATATTATTATTAATATCTGAAAGGCGGAAGATTTCGGTAAGGTCGATACTTCTGTTATTATCTGGGTCTAGATATAATATTTCCAGGAATATTAGAAGTGTAATTTGATAAATAATAGAAGGGAGTCTACCAGTTCGGATATTGAACTGCCAGGTATTAAAGCCTGGGAGCCTTTATAAAAGGAACGGCCTATAGCAGAATATATAGTATTCGGTTATAATAATTGAATCTTTTATAAGGGCTTGTAGATGGGTCGGATAAGGAAGTGCCTTTAAAAGTTTGAATCGCTCTCTACTTGCTTTCTATAGAAACTCGAAACAGGTTAAAGAAATATTTACCGCCTTGGGCAGAATATTCCGTAATCGGAATAGTATATAAAGGGGAGGTATGAAAGAAGTATAATAGGTGCCTGGCGAGAAATGAGTAAGAGAGTAAGGGTATAGGGTTTGTTATTTGCGGTACCTTTCAAAAAGGTATAGAGTATTTAGAAGAGAGGAGAGAATGCCGTTACTATAAGCAAAGGATCTCGAAAGGCTTTGAGAGCCCAGCTATATATAGTAATTGATTACTTACTTGAAAAGGGAGTCGGTGTATAATCTGCCTTTGCTTAATCGCCCTTATATAATCAAATTTGCCTGCGCTTCTACCGGTATACAACCTGCCTGCGCCGAACCTGTAATCGCCCCCGTATAGTTATATTTGCCTGTACTTCTACCGGTATACAACCTGCCTGTACCGAATCTTCTTTACCCAATCGCCCTTATATAATCAAATTTGCTTATATATATATACCGGTACCAAGTCTATTTTTGCTCAATCTAATAATCAGATACGGCGAATCTTGTAACCTCTTACAGAAATTTCCTTATACCGAAAGGAAAGGTGGTACTACTTGGGAGATATAATATAAGAACTCAATATTCACTTTACAAATATTAACTGTATTGGCAAACGGATTTGAGCCTTTATCCTTTGAGTTTGTATATTAAATCAAAGCTGGAGCTATATAACTGACCTCTTGTTCGTATACGACCGTTGAAGCCCCCCTACTCCCTCTAGCCAGTAGAGCACCATATTCTACAAGACCAAGTATACTCGTATTGTAACAGGCATCAGCGGTTTTGCCCTCCAAGGATAGGACAAGTATTATATTAATATATATCTGGCCTAACTACTCTGGGCGCCGTATTACAGATATATATATCTCCTAGAGGACCTCTTAATAACCCTAATCCTTTACTCCTTTTGCTAGTACCGTTTGAGTACCAGTACCGATATAGTTCTGCCTTGCTAGGACTTATATGAATCTCCCCAAAGCCACTGGACCGCAGAGTGACTCCTTATTGAGACGGTATCGCCGATATAATTCTGCCTTTGCTAGGATCTGCATAAATCTCTCAAAGCCACTGGGCCTGGCCGACTCCTTATTGAGACGGTATCGCCGTTGTATATCTTTCCCCTACTCAGCTGATCCTTTACTCCTTATTACTACTATGGTTTGGGTATTAATACCGATATAATTCTGACTTTGCTAGGATCTGTATAAATCTCCCAAGCCACTACCACCTGTAACGCGACTCCTGCTTGATACGGTACCGAATAAACCTTACGATAGTTAGCAGGCGTAATAGAGTCTTCCTTGTCTTCCCTTACAGATCCTAGAGTCTCGAGGTCCGAACCTTTCGTACTCTGTCTAGAAGCATAGGCTAGTGGAAGGAGTCGAGTGCCTCAGATATTAACGGGATTTCAGAATTTTCAATACCGATTTTTGTACCTTTTGAGATAACTATAAAAAATCATCTATTATTCGCAAGTTCTTGTAGTATTCAAGTTAAATAAGCTCTCGGAAATTAAAGCCGTATATTCGTATATAAATTGGGTTGTTTGAAGAGAGTTGAGGAACTCTCAAAGGCTATTTAAGCAAGACTATTTCGAGTCGCGAATTTTCGGCTAAAAAGGGGACCCAACTCGGCTCCCGTAAGGACCCTTGATAAGTGTAACAAGGGAGCGAGAACGGCCACTATTATAATATCTTAATAGGTTTAAAGAGGTGGCTATGTTACAGGTAATAAGATATACAAAATTCTATATTTAGATAATATGGAAAGTATAACCGATTTGCGAGGGTACCAGAAAAGGATCCCCTGAGTATAATCCAGCTGATTTATTAGCGTACTCAGGACTCAGGGCTTAATTCAGGTTAGAGCAGTAACTTCTCAGGTCCAAAGATGGAAATGGAAAAGCCTTATATCGATATTCTAGTATAGGATTACCTATATCAAGGCTTGCAAATAGGTATCGATATATCAAACAGGCTCTATTTTAGACTTTACTATACCGGCTATAATCGCAATATAGAGAGATATAGTTAATAGGGGTTAAGATTAATTAACTTAATAAAGATACTTGGGAATAGCTTCATTTCAGATTCGGAGAAAGGCCGGCGAAAGGTGAAACTCGTCTACTTTAAAGTAAGGATACATGGATCGAGACAGAGAATAAGCAAGACGTTACGAAGGCGGATAAAAAGCGGTTTACTAATCCGATTTGGAAAAAGAAACCCCTCAGAAACCGGAGGCCCAAACCTCAAGTTTTTGAAGGGTTTCTTTCCGTGTCGATAGACATAGATGCAGATGGCGTCAACCCATAGAGTTCGTTGTTGATTTTCACTCCGGAGGTTGACCAGTGCATCGAAAAGGTTCTCTCGGACATCACAACTCTGACTATCCAAGCTGATGGATTTCATCTCTGTTGGGCCCCACACATAAGACAAGGCTTCATATTGAGGGCGGTGGTGAGCTGTTTCGGGGCGGTGCACGTCGACCGAGCGATTACACAATGGTAAGGAGGCGGGAGGCTTGGTTTGAAAGTTTTCAGAAAGCTTGACGTGGGTCGTCGTACAAATTATTCTCTCGCCGAAGACGCCAGGCAGCAAGCACAGGAGGCGAATCTCGTCTGGATCAGCAACTGGAGGGAGAGTGGTCCTCTCTGGGGAGTTTCGTTTAGCGGTCGATGGCATTGCTGAAAGATGAATGTCGAGACTGGGGGGCGAGGATTTGAGGTTTTGTGCGCAAAATTAGTGGTGGAGGCTGTGCAAAGAGCACCTGCACGAAAGCTCACATGACTGATGTCCAGCTTCGTGAAAGGTACATTGCAACAATAGCACATAGCGGCACGTGCACTCCTCTATCGTCAGGAGATACTTACTGATAATATTAAGGTTCCCTTGATCCGATTTCTCAAGTGATATCTCTACACAATATACTTCAGCAGATCCCTAGAGAACCGCTGAAACAGTCAGACTTAAACGGCACTAGACTCTCTGCTGGGATACTGACACCTGAAGTCGACGGAAAATTTCACGCAACCAGCGGCAGGAAATCAGGTAGCTCATGAGAACTATAAAGGTGCATTTGATGTTTCACTTACTTGAAAATGCGATCAAATGACAAGTCAACAGGCGGCCGTCCATCCCAGCCAAACACCTTCAATTTTATTATTTCCTCCCGAGCTCGCCATGGTGGTGGATGAGGACGGAGGATAACTGCTCGCAATGGAGGCCCCTGCGGAAGGTGTAGAGTTAGAGGTGTCAACGAACGTGAGAATTGCGTTTGTCAGAACGGCAGCTAGAAGAAACGGGTGGTTCTGCATTTTAAATGCGAAGAATTATTCTTGGTGGAGTTTTTGGTTTAAGAGCGTTTATGAAGGTGGGGTCTTAGAGGAGTGTTACATAGCTTTATGTACCCAGGTCGGAAGTGGCTAGCTTCCATCACTTCACCATGAAGTGACTCAAACTCCTGCTCTTTACCACTTGATCGGGGGATAGCTGTTATGCATCAAACCGAAGGGGGAGAACTCGTGTGCTATCCGCAGCCCGCAACGAGCTTCATCCAAGTCCAAGGAGTCTACTCCTTTGGGGTTACATTGGCTTGGCATTCCTTGACTGAGCCTCTGTACGAGCCATCATCAGATGAACATGGGTTGAGCAGCAGGGGCAACGGCGAAGTAGAAGAGGCCAGTGCCAGAGAATTGTTTGATGGTGCATCGACTGATACATGAAACCAGTATTGATCTTAGAACCAACAGTGAAGGAAAATACAAGTGCCACGTATCGCGTGGCTTGCTATTTACCTTGAAGCATGTTGATGGTCTGATAAAATGCTCTGCCGCGAAGCCAAAGGGCAGATTATGGCCACATGAGCTGCAACATTATGTCTATCGATTGTTTGGCAGGGTTTATTTCCAGGATTCTGTTGAAATCGTTCCAAAACGCTGATCGAAATGATTACGTTCTAGAGCGGAATTCGTATTTATCACACAAGAGATAATGGACAGAATGTGTTAAAACGAAACAGCTTTTCATAAATTGAGAAATTCTGCTTTATTGAGCCCTAAGACTAATAATTTTGGTGGCATACTCTAAGGCAATTAACGTTGTATTCACTAGTTGGTTGTTCTTCACCTCACAACAACCTCATGGTCTACGCCTAACTCGAATTTCATCTCGTACGCTTCTCCTTGAAATGCCGAGCTCACAATCTCTTTGTAGATCTTATCACAATCCCGACCGGAAGTCCTCTCATTCCACAAAAACCGCCTCAAGATGTGCTTCATCCGATTGAGTCCAGGCTTGGGAATAAATATCTTCCGGACACGCTTAAACAAGTCCACAAACCAAACTCTTGCACCGCCCTCAACAGCTGCCGCAGTAACCAAAACCCACAACAGAAGCTCGATGTCGTCTCCCCAGCAAGTACCAAGATCCGTTGTGCGTAACGGCTGTTTTAGTTTGCCGAGTAACAAGCTTTGCACGCCCGTCAAGAAGGTGTACGGTTTAAAGTGCATCTGGTGATATACGTAGGCGGCCAGACAACAGCATTGTTCGTACGCCCCGCTGGGAGCACGAGAGGCCTCGGCAATCAGCTCGATCAGGCAACATGCAATCCATCCTCGCTGCTGGTCAAAATGGCCTACCATAGCAAGGGGGACAATCTGACCCCTACATGACTCCTTGAGCTGCACTAGATCCCTGATCTCCTTCACTTCTTCTAAGAATTTATCGCTAAGAGCACCTCTTAAAGACCAAGGTTCAGCTTCACCTCTCGATGAGGAGAGAGTTCGAGTCTTCCAAGCGAATTTGAGTGGACTAGGACACAGGCGGAAGCGTGGTGGTGTACTTGTGTAAAGACTACGAAACTGATCGGCACTTTCGTTTTCTTAGTAACGAGATCTGAGAAAAGGACGTATGTTTAGGACTGTACAAGATTACTCGCCAATACATCAGCGGCATTGTCGCATGTAGTCTGTCAATGCCCCCACGTAAGGTTACAATCCGGTAAATGCCATACATGTGGACCCGGTGGCCGCTATGATCTTTGAACATGCACTCCTCCGAAGTCAGTAAATAGACTCGGAAGCTTTATTTTTGGAAGTGATTCGCCGACCTACATCACTTCCGCTCACAAACATTATACTGGCCAAGGCTTTATCACTTGTAGCGGCCTGGATATCATTCATAGACTAGTTGATCAACCTGATGGCATTAACACGGTGAATAAGAGTAGCAGTACTCCCTGTCTTGCGTCCGGAGCGGGCGTCTATGAGACTCGAGGAGAATGCCAAAAGAGCATGAAACATAGCTGCATCATTTAAGGCTAACGGGACCAGGACTTCTGCTACAGGATTTGGCGTTTTTTTTGAAGCATGTTCGAGGGTGCAAAGAACAGGACTCAATTCGCTAATCCCTAACAGGCAATAGACGTGAGCAAGGGTTGACTTTGCTATGCCTGGTGACTAAACGATGCCCGATGCTGCAACGGCTCTCACTTACAATGACGAAGAAGCATCTGAAGCATGCCACTATCTTGCCCTGTTGAGACAGGGAGACTTGAGAACGGATCTCTGTCACCATCCCCAAGCCTGTCGCGAGGATATCTCCGCTCTAATAAAGTCGACAGTTCATTCGTCCCATTGTAAGTACCAGTTATTGTTGCCGTGCGCTTTCCTGGATTTCTTTGCATCTCCAAACGAGGTAAAACTCACCTTTCAATACTGCGCAAAGAAAGGCCTCCCCCACACAGTCGACAGGATTTCCTGGCTTCTCTGTTCTCAGTGGATCCGAGTCCGTGGCACACGCACCTAGGGGATGTTTGAAGGAGGCGCAATTGGCGATCTTCAGAAAGAGTAAATGGACGGGCGTGAATTTTCCGCGTCTGCCAATATCGATTCATGACATGCTTCCGCACCCTCTTTCGGTGAGACGCTTCCATCTGCTGCACTGGGTATATAGCATTGAGGAATTCGAGCTCAATGTACTTGTTCGGCTGTTGCGATGCCATTTTGCCCTGGCCTCGAGCAAACCCAGGGTGACGGGGCCTGCCTGGCTATATAATGGCGTATCTCTGGTTATTGGTAACTGATTTCTTTGCACTTGATTGGTTAGGACGAGATATTCCGTGCCCGAGACGTAATATCGAGCATATAATTAAAACAAATTCAGCTCCGCGGCGATTATACGAAGGACTTTGTGGAGTAATTTTCTCAGAGACATTCGGGCAGGCTGAGACAATAAACACCGTGCGGGACGGTCGGAAGTTTGCATGGGGCTTTGAATAATCAACATGCAGTCGCACAATTTGACAGTGACAATTTATGTAAGTCCACTGCCATAGCGATTGGAAAGACAAGTTTAGCTTACAGACCGGAGTTTTTTGCTGAATTCGGCATAGTTCGGCTGCAGGCTGAGTTTACTGTTACTTCCCTCTCTCCTTCTTTCTTCGCTTCTCGTTTCTACTTACATCTCCCATCACTTTTCATTACCTATTATCTTCTTACTCTCATTATCTCATTATCGTGAAGCCTTGTGCCCCTGCAGAGCTACCCCACAAACTGCAATATGTAGCCTGGTAGAGCTGACAGAAACACACGCAACAGATCGCCTTTTCACAGTATTTGCAAAGATCTCGAGTGGCACAGCTACTCTCACTTCACGGCAGTACACGACCGCTCAACCCAACATGAACGGAATGTGGGATCCTACGAAGTGTGGATTGCGAGATCATTACCTCTTGCTTCTCTTTGGCGCCACGTTGGGAAATTTCTGGGTCGAGCTCCTGCTCATTTCGATAGAATTATGGGCCGGATACCAGAAACTAAAGGATACAGGACAGCCGATGGTTGGAAGTTGCGATGTTGCTATTTCAGCGGCTTGCCATCCGGCAGAGGATATGAAAACGGATGAATTTTCCGAGGAAGAACTGCAATGAGAGGAGATTTCAATTTGGAAGAAACAAAGATACTAACTGATAACAATACACAAGGGGCTCATCGTTGTTTGGGCCGTACTCCCAGAGCGACCTTTCTCATAACCTGTCGCATGGTTTCCGTGTTTTGTTGACATGAGGGCACGTGATCCAGGGGTCAGAGGAACTGCGCATTGTGCTTCTGCGCTTACCCGAAGTGACCAACTAATAAATGAAAGCCAACCTCAGCCACCAGAGACTCACATTCCACAAAATCTTGCAACAAGAAAGCCACGAACCGTCGCATACGACGCTTCCTTGACGCTTCCTTGACGCCTCCGCAGAATGTCGCCCTCTGTGGTGAACGAAACGCACACAAGCGACGCACCAACCTCCAAAGCAGCACCAGATCGCTATGTTTACGAGCCGTACAGCGATATCCCAGTTGAGGAGAACTTCGTGTCGCCCACATTCGATGAATCCGTGATCGGATTCCCCGAGGATAGGCGCCCTACCAGATCAGGTATTGTTGAAATGCTGGCAGTCGTTCACCTCTTGGAGGCCGCAGGGATCCCATGCTGTGCCGTTGCAGAGTCAGCACTTATATATTACGGCACTGGTCGATTGAGAAATGTGAGTTGTATCATTTATTGAATGCAATTGCGTTAACGGGCGCTCCAGGACTGGGTGATCTGTGTACCAAATGCAGACCTTGATAAAGCTTCCGCTCTTATTCGCTCCCATGACACAGCTTATTCTCCCTTTCGCCCCTCGGCTATGAAGGCATTGAGAGGCATGCATCACCTTTATCCGCGGTTTAAATTCATTGGTGTCGCCTTGTTCTTCGTTTTGACCACGGCGCAAGAGTGTCACATTCGCTGCTCCCCAGAAAACTTTGAGCGAAGCAAGACTGGCATGCCTTACCCAAAATTGTCCATCTATGCACAAAGCCTCCTGGACACAAATAACCTCGTAGACCTGGATGATCTGGTTGACGGCATGAATCTTTCGGTCGAATGGGGTCTGGAGAATTTACAACTGGATGGTTCGTTTGATGCCGGATGGGGCCGCTGGAAAATTGAGACTCTTCGACAGGCAGGAGCCTCTGGGCTGGAATTACCGCTCAATCTCGAATCACCTCGATCTCGGCGTGAGACCTGGGAGCACACTGCATCTGCCGAGCAGAAAAAGAAGCGTCAAGGTTGGAAGCTTCTTGTGAATCGTTCCACAAGGTTCTGGCATGAGGGGCAGAAGGATCCAAGATTACAGGATAGAGACTTCTGTTGATGCGATGTCATCCGCTGTGCGTAATTCGCTGTGAAATAGACTTTCTATTTCGATGAATTCTCGTGAAGAAAAAGCTGACACCCAGAAAGACCAAAACGAATGGAGATCTTCTGCCGTGCGGTAGATATGGCACAATAATATACATGCTTTTGGTCAACCCAAAACACTAACCAACACGCCTCCCCAAGACCTCTGCTGCAAGTGCTTTTTCCGGACCAGAAACCAGCTCCACAAATTGGTCACATTCATCAGGATCTAGACTCGCTCTGATAGCCCTGACTTGGCCTGCGAACGTAGTCACAAGCCAAATCACATCCGTGATATCTCTGGGCGCTCCTCTTGATGAACAAGCTCCCAACTTGCTACGCAAAGCATAAAGGAGATCCAGTGCCGGAATCTGGACTTGTTGGCCCGACAGCGATGTGACTGGAAGCAGTCGACGATGATTAGCCAGAGATCGAGGGCTCCCATTTGATCCTGCATAACGTCAATCCCTGTCATCGCCAGATTTAGTCTGAATTCTACCTACCACAGAGAATCAAATCCAGTTCTATGTTCCGCACTTCTTGGCACTGGTCCTGGCCAGGTCCTGTCCTAACAAATACTTTCATGATCGCCTCTATCATTCGGGTATCAGGAATGATCAACCTAAGCAAATTCAGCATTATGTACAAATTTACAAGAGGGGTAGTAGTCGAACCTGGATTGCGGCTCTACTACTGGCCAGAGTTGAGCCATCCGTGCTTCTACTGCAACATCCACATCTCTGGTCGGGCGAGGGCTTCCTCGTAGGTTCAGTCCAAAACCCCCCATGACGGCATGATTTATATTGGACCTCTGTAGAATATCGAAGACAAATAAACACGCTGACAGCAGATTCTCCCTTGGTGGGGCATTGGGATTTTGAGCTCGGTCTTCGTCGGAATCATAGTTTATGAGACTATATTTAGACGCCATTGTCGAGGAACCAAAATTGAAGTGGAGATTCTCCTATTAGGGAGTGGACGAACATTTCAAGATAACGAAGGGGAGCTCGAAGCCCCGATTTATACAATTTCTCTCCGCGGTTCTCTATTTTCTCCAGCGGCAGCCCAAACGCCAACATCTTTATTTTCCCTGATCGTGGAAGAAATCAGGACTCGAAGTGTGTCCCTTGGATTTTTGATTGGCTCTGATCTTCTCCGAGGTCGACCTCGGAGCAAGCCCAGGCCCGAAAAGGGGGCCGTCCAGCGCTTATTAACGACGTTGGTATCAACAAGGCGGTTCACACGGGGATCGACGTTACGGCGGACGAAGTATGATATACACAGTTTTGAAATATATACAAATGCAAGACAACCATTTAGGGGAAACTTATTGACATCCCAGGATCCCGGTTTTCATCGATATTCAAGGCATGCTCTTCGCCTCATCTACGGACCCTGGACCATGGCACGACACAGACGATTACGGAAAGCCGAAGGGTCACGTGTGCCAGCGCCAAATCACAAATCGCAAATTACGACATACCCCACCAAAAATTTCCCGCGCCTGTGACGGCGGAGTGAGGTGTGGTAGATAAGAACATTGGAACGCCGAGTGCCTGGAGCTTAGCCTGAAACCTTAGCTAAAACCAACCATGTGACACCAGCTGTCACAGCGACCACATAACGGCCCCCTCCCTGAGCCTCTACTACTTAAAATATTTACTCTCTATAATCTTTGTCTCTCTCTCTCTCGCCCTCTCTATATATAAGTATAGGGGTAGGGGGGATGGGGTGGGGGGCTGTGCTAAAAACCTATGTCGCCCCCACGAAAAAGTCAAGTACTAAATTTTTAGTACGCCTATAATTTAGCGACCGTGGCCCTATAATTTAGCGACAAGCAGCCTATAATTATAGGGCTTCCTTTTCCTCGCAACACAACTCACAAATCTCGAAAGTTCACTTATCGCCTTTTACTTTGTACTTTTACTTGCTCGCCCTCCTAACCCCCCCACACCCTCTCTCTTCTACCCCTATACTTATATATATAGAGATAAAAATTAAAGAGAGAGAGTAAATATTTTAAGTAGTAGTAGAGGCTTAGGGAAAGGGGGGGGGGCGTTATGTGGGCGCGGGCAATTTTTGGTGTGGAATATCGTGATTTGCGATTTGCGATTTGGCGCTGGCACATGTGATCCTTACGGCTTTCCGTAATCTACAAATCATATTGTTAGACTCCTTAATTAAAAGCCTCTAATTCGCTACAATTTTACGGTACATTTGATCACGGAAGGGCACACCCGGTGGCAGCCGAACGGAATAGCGCAAGAAAAGTGCCTCAATCGAATCGTCAGGTGTAACTATCTGCATTACAGCATTATTGTAGGTTTGACTTCGCCATGTCTCAGCCATTGGCACAGGAATGGCCAGATGCGCAAGGCTTTGCGAACTAGCTGATTGATTTTCCTGTCAACGGAAGTCGACGTGGTGACACAATGGTAATCGCCTTGTCCCGGGACCAATCAAGAATAAGCGTTCCAGCCGTGTAAAGCCTCCAAGTTCAGCTGCTGGCAGTTCCTCGAGTAGCAGACTTGAACTGCGAAGACGATAAGAAAATGTCTGGTAACGATGATATATTTCTTTTAGTGCAAAATGTAGACTTGAGGTGCGAACTGTTTCCCCCGTTCGTCAATACGAGCAGTTGATTAATCGGGGTGGATTACGATTCCGGCTCCACAGTGAGTCCCGATTGGTCAATCGCTCGTAACCGGGGGGGATCAGGTGCATAGAAGCGTGTGCCGACGGTATTCCTTACTGCGCAATACAACACAGCACACCATTCACTATTAGCCCGGGCTGTGCTGCGGTTGGAGCGCATAGATGATATCTCAACTTTGATATCGGTTTGTACTTTGATCAAGTTTTTGTTTGCCGCAGAAGCACGCTTTCATTCGTGGAAATCCATCTTATCCAAGAACCCCGCACCGCCGCTTGCAGATCGTAGACTTGCTCCTTGACCATTAGTGGCTCTCAATTTTGTCTCCCACGACTCTTTGCATGAACAGTTATTCAATATGCTAATCCCATTTCCCCGAGAAGGTATCTGCAACGAAGGTTGCATGGGTATTGATCTAGTCAGTTCTAAACCAAGGCACTGGAGAATACATATGTGTGGCTGCATCTATACCGAGAACTTTCCATATTGCGGGGAATCTCCTTCACCCCGCCACGGTACTGTGCTGCCTTCCTGAACAAGCACCGTCAACGGAAATAGGCCTCTGGAACTCGACACCGATGATAGAAATCCACTTGTTCCGAGGTGGAAGATATTAGAAGGTCTTTAAATCCTACAAATCGCATCTTCTGATCAAAGATATTGCGTTCTGTGCTGGGATGGTTGAACCTTCATTCCACGAATCAGGAACCGCTCTCGCTCATCTTTATCCGCCTCATCCTCTCTACGGGGGGAAACTGTGGCCCTCCACGTTTTCTCTTCTCCATCTGCATTCGTCATACCTTTTGTAAATGTTTCAGTTCTCAAAGTCTATCTGGGTCACTGTCCTCGTTGCAGCGGCTGCAGTTCAAGCTTATTCTGATCCCGGAGCTTGTTCTGGATACTGTTTGGCCCACGACCCGGCTGTTATTCAGCGCACGAGTGATGGTACCTATTTCAAATTCAATACTGGAACGGGTATTCAGTACGCAACTGCGTCCTCTTTAGCGGGACCATGGTTTATCCAAGGATACGTTCTTCCTGATGGAAGCTCCATCGCCAATTCTGGCAGCGACGATCCATGGGTAAGACCGCTCGAGAGTTCTGACTAAATGTGACTGCATACTGACCGAGTTGCTGTGCCAAGGCGCCGGATGTTCACCTTGTTGGTGGTATATACTATCTCTACTACGCAGTTTCGACCTTCGGTAGCCAGACCAGTGCCATTGGTGTGGCTACCAGCACCACGATGGACGTTGGCAGCTGGTGAGCAACAAATTTCTTTGTTTCTGCTCTCTCGGAACATGCTCGTTGGGAGTATGTTTCATGGCTTTGGTCTCCTTTTCTTTAGCGAGAATTAAGTAATGATTCGTTGTCAGGACCGACCATGGATCAACCGGGGTAGCAAGTACATCTGCGAAGCCATATAATGCTATCGACCCTAACTTGATTATTGTCGGAAGCAGCCCCTATCTCAATTTTGGCTCCTTTTGGGGTGATATTTTCCAGGTCAAGATGAGCTCTTCTCTGACGTCAACTGCTGGAGGCTCTTCTTATAATATTGAGTATAATGCAGCTGGAGACCACGCTTGCGAGGGCTCGTATATGTTCTACTATAGTGGATACTACTATCTGTTGTGGAGTCATGGAATCTGCTGTGGCTATGAAAAGTACGTTGACTCTTATCTTCTATCCGGAACTAAGCTATTAAACGTGAACTAGCACACTACCTGCTACTGGTAATGAATATATGATTATGATGGCCCGTTCTACATCTGCCACGAGCGGTTTCGTTGACAAGAATGGCGTTGCAGCCACCAGTGGTGGTGGATCAATTTTGCTCGAAAGCCATGGTTACGTCTACGGTCCTGGTGGACAGTCAGTCTTCCTCATCCTCTATTCTTGACGGACTGCCTACTAACATAAATGAGGGGCGTGTTCTCAAGTACCACCCAAGGATTGGTACTCTACTACCACTACGCGGATACTAATGTTGGACTCGCTGATGCCGACTATCAGTTTGGATGGAACGTGTTGTCCTGGGATAACGGATGGCCAATAGTGTAAACCAGTAACTTTAGGTGTGAGAAGGAAATGAAAAGCTCGTAGGGTGCAAGACTTGTGTAATTAAATAACATTGCTGCTGTGATAATACACTTGCTCTATCTGCGACACGCTTTGGCGGCATTACCCACCAGACCTTTCCTGGAAGAAGATAGTAATAAGAAGACTTTTTGAACTTTGTCTCGCGCTCCGAACCCATATCTCTGAGAATTACCATGAGTTTTGCAATCGCAAGTTCCCCACATATTTCTTGAGCTCTTTAGAAATATGAAATAAGAATATAATTATAAAGCATGAATTTTTATATATAAGCTATATATATATAATATTAAATCAAAACGTTTTATAATATAAGAAAAATATTAAATTAAAAACATTAAAGTTTAGAAGTTATTAAATACAAATTATAATTAATATATTATAAAGTAAAATTAAATAGTATTTCTTTCTTAAAATAAGGCTTCAAGAAACCAAATAACTCAAAAATAAAAGGATTATAATTAATAAAATAACATAATAACTAATATTAAAAAGTACTTAACCTATAACTAATATTTTTAAGAGTAAAGATTAATTCTTAATCGGCCTAAAGTTGTCAGATTTGGTACTTCTCGGATGGCCAATAATAAGAAGATACAGGGTAGAGTGCGAGGCTGATCTGCTCCTCACACGGCCACCCGCGGAACCGGCTGGGAAAGCGTCTTTGTGTTACCACAGGAATTTGAAATTCTCCAGAAATAAGTTGCTCCTTTGAGGTCATGCTTACGAGTGATTGGCAGAAATAACTTTCATTGCGTTTCGGGTCGTAATGCCTGTTTCGTGAGGCCACAAAATTGAAGCATTTCTTGACCTCTGTGGGTTCGCAGCGTCCACTTCTGCACCTGGACAGCTCATCTCTATGTCCTGTCGGCTCCAAGTTCGGCACCAGGTGGGTATTGAGCCAGCCTAAATTTTCCTCTTTGTGTCTATGGCTTGACGATATTGGCACAACGCCAGTGAGCCTTTAATCAATGGCTCATGAGTACCAAAGTCTAAGTGAAACCTATGAGAGCTCGTTTGGGTGGTTTAACCGTTTGAATAATGCGAATGAAAGAGCAGTTCTCAGAGCCTAGAAAAGGTTAATGTCAATAAGGAATTATTCGGCCTCGATGGTTCTTGGGCAATCCATTGCACGGAAACGCTCAAAAGTTTCAATAAATAACTAGAAATTAAACGAAAGCGCGACCATGACAATATCTAGCAACCATTTAATATTTGAAAGTACTTGTACAGCATAATAATGTTACTCAAAGGAAGCTTGGATCTTGAGAAGTGTTTTGATTTTATTCTGAGTGACGTCCGGAAAAAGAATGACCGAAACGTTCCGGGGACATGCCCTCCCATCTTCGCTCTCTCGCGAATGAGACTCCTCCAGAGCTTTGAACATCACATGGTGCTGAGAAGTCGCTCAATCACATTAATTCACTAGCATCTTAGTGCGTTCCTTTTTGCATAGATGCCTCAAGCTCGTGCAGTCTCGATTCTCTAGTGAGTTCCGATGGCCATCCCAATCGTCCATGTTGCTCGAGTTCGCTGGCTGGGAATGCGGGGTGCTTCAGCTCTCTGCCCGTGCCTCCCTCTTTTCTCGCACTGGCCGGTACACAGACCTGCGCCAGCGACGAGAAGGACCCCGAGAGCAGCGCCAACTCCTATCCCAGCAAGATGCGCCCCGGTTTAGACCCTCACCACCACTAGTCCTGCTGGGTGTAGATGAAGTGGTAGACGTGGTGGAGGTGGAGGTGGTCGTTAGCGATGGCGATTGGGTTGTCGACGACTATGCGGTCAGGTCTCAGTAAGTTGATGAACAGTGTTAGATACCCACGCACCGAAGTTACGCCAGCTATATCAGAAGACTGGAATCTAACTTGCACGCCAAAGGCGTTAAAGTCACCACTATTGTTGTAGGTGAATGTAAAAGTGTCTCCATTAGAAGCCCAAGTTGGGTCGGCGGAGAGGCTACTGAAAGCAGACGCGCACCCTCTGTAGGAATTCTTCCATATGACTGGTGGCCCTGTGTATGTAGGGGCATAGAAATACAAAAGGCCAAAGTCAAGACAGCAAGCCACTGTGGTCTCAGTAAGAGAAGTAATCACATTCGAGGTCCAGCAGGCCGTAGTATGTCCACTTGGGCAAATTCTAGGTGAATAATGGTAGAAACGAATGTCTTGATAATTACTTGGAAAACACCTATCGGTGCCAACGGGGCCACCGAAACCCCCCGTTCCTCCCGGATCTGTGGTGATATAAACGTTTGCGAAAGACGAGGCGCAGGATGGGGGAGGAATTAAAGTCGTTGTTAAGGGACCAAGGCCGGTCATCCTGAGCAAGCGTTGGCAGTTGTCCGTAATAAACTGGGAAGCTTATTGAGAAAGACGATCCGGAGGTGGGATTAACATGCATGCTTGAAATTACACGGTGCTGAGACTTCTCTCTTTCTGTGAGGGTTCTTCTTTGTCGGCGGGATGATAGGTGTACGTCGCGGGTGAAGTTTTCGTGCAAGCCACTTTCATCGCATATCGTCACCCAATAGGAACCCGCTATAGGCCCAATCAGAGTTCTCATGATGCAGCGTGATATGAGAATCCAATCCCAAGAACCCCGCCGTAAATCCTGGATCCATGATCTCTTGCTCAAGCGGGTAGTCAGCACCGACGTTGAAATTCTGCCCGGGAAAGGCAGGGAGACCTTCGAGATTGAAGCCTGAATATGGTTGTTGGTAATTGCCAGCTATCTGAGAACCATTTGATGCCCCCGCGCCTGTTTGCAATGGTAGGTACTGGTTAGATTGTTGAAGCGAGGAAGGCGGCTGTGTCGGCTCGGGAATTCCGTTTCTCACGAAGCCATCTAATGGATCGGGAAACAGGGATTCCAAGTATCGCTTTGCGCGACGATCGAAGATGGTTTGCATATGCCGCTTGACAATCTCAACGCTCCTGACTAGACCAGGCATGGTCGTGGCAGACTTTTGCAAGACGCCGAGAAAGAACTTCAGGCCGAGCTTTTCACTTGGCACTTCCGACGTTGGAACGGAAACCGATTCTTCTTGCAGCTGGAAATGCAACACAGCAATAGTTGCTGCAATGTATGTGCTGTAGCAATTGAGGTATGTGGTGTGAACGTAGCCAAATGTGTTTGTGAGAAGTTCCAGAAGATCGTGGATAGACGCGCATGATGCGATGCAGATTTGATATGAACGGGAGATTGCTGGACTTTCGAACTCTGTCGCGCCTATGATGAAGGGTCGGTGAAGCAGAACGGATGTCGTATGATAGAGGAGATTCAAAGACACGATATGAAGAGGTGGGCTGGAGTCCGGGAGGTTCTTGATGTTGAGGCGGAGGTGTTCTGGTAAATCTATCCACCATTTTTGGATTGATGAGGAGATTCTGATAAACGCCAAGTTCTTCGTGCTTTGCGATGATTGTTGATCTCCGTCAGGCCGGGGTTCTTGAGAAGAACCATATATCTCAAGCATGATAGTGCTCAGGATCATGGAAAGTTTACATAGGGCGGTGAAACATGATATCATGTAACCTTTCTGCGGAGAATAGAAAGGTCTCGTCTGGAGGTCTTCGGATCCATAATATGGCTGCCACGGGTCATTTTCCGTAAAGTCGTCCACTTTGTAGCAATCAGATTAAGATCAAGAATGAACTGGCGGAAAAGGCAATCTTTGCCAGAACAACTCACTGAAAACAGGATCATTCGACTCCACTGCGGGTGTGAACGCCGGCATACGGCCAAGGTAGAGACTGATAGCTTTGTCCCACGTGTAGCAGCCCCAAAACAATCTCTTCCGTATTTCGATGTCTTCAGCTGCCAGGTTCTTAACGTAGCCTCGCAACCGCTCTGGAGGAAGATGGATCCCAAGGTCTATGGCAATCCTGAATGCCATGCCAGAATAAAGCCAGGCTACTACAGTGAGTTGAAGTCCTATAGGCGATTATTTGACCTACCTTGAGATGAGTTTCCGAATGCCACCTCTCGAGCTGATTGTTGTAGAAGCGCCTGGATGGTAGGGATCGAGCTTGGGCTAGCAATTTTCATCGCGAGTGACAAGTGTGCTTGATGGGAGAGCGCACCCATTACGGTACTTGCCGAGTCTTGATCGGGGCGATCTTGAACTCGAAAGCGTGCGCAATGTGCAAGTAATACTTTCAATAAAGTCTCCGAGAAGTACGAAGTTTCGGGCTGGTTTGGGGAGCTGAGTGCCATGCCTCCTACTAAAGTTTAGCACAGTGTCCCCAAAGGAAAGTATCCCCAGACTTACTTGTGAATGCTGGACGATACACGAATTGAAACATTGGATGTATCCAACACCAGTGGAACTTCAACAGCTCACTTGCTACTTCGCTGGAGACCTCATTTTGAACAGCAGCCATCTTCTCGACAGCCATGGCTTCAAACCGTCTCTGAGCTGCTGCATTCGAGACCAGGGAGAGCTTGATTTTATCGTTCTGCTGAACGCTGCTTTCTTGACCGGCAAGCTGTATTTCGTGCGACGGGTTGCACTCTGAATTCGAACGGCCAGTATTCAATGCAGTGTGGGCTCCGATAAGCTCGATAAGCGACGATTAGATAATCGCGCTAATTTTTCGATAATCGATAATCGACCATCGATTACGATAATTATCGAACTAAGGCCTTGGCAATACTACAGGGCCACTACAGGGCCAATGCGCTAGGGCCAATACGCTATATTTATAGGCCTCATACCACCTTTTCTTTACTATAGCAGAATTCCGATTTAGTAAAGGCGGTATAAGGCCTATAAATATAGCGCATTAGCCCTGTAGTAGCCCTGTAGTACTACCAAGGCCCTGGACCCACTATTATTAATAGATTTAGTACTGTAAAGGCGGTCTAAGGCCTGTAAATATAGCGTATTGGCCCTGTAGCGGCCCTGTAGTGGCCCTGTAGTATTGCCAAGGCCCTGGGACCCACTATTATCGATGGAATTATCGATGGGCTCGCTCAATGGCTGGCGGGCCCACTTTTATCGATGGAATTATCGATGGGCTCGCTTAATGGCTGGCTGGGCCCACTTTTATCGATGATTATCGAGGTGATGGGGCTCGCTTAAGGGCTGGCTGGGCCCACTTTTATCGATGGAATTATCGATAACTGGATTAAATACTAGCTAGTCTACGTTATATAATAGACTATTAAATAAAAAGTTAAAAAGTCTAATAGTATAGTAATAATAGTATACTTTTATACTAATCTTAATACTAATCGGTTTATAATTGAACTAGAAAGCCGTAATAGGGCTCGTTTAATGGCTGGGCCCACTTTTATCGACGATAATTATCGATATCGATCGTTTATCGATCGCTTAGCCGATAACGATTACTAATCGATAATTTCGATCGATAATTTATCGGAGCCCACACTGATTCAATGGAGCCTCGTGGAATAAAGATGTAGGGTTATGATAGCAGACGCTCCCATGCTTGTCAACAGATATTTCCGATACCCAGCGGTCGCAGTCTCTCTTCCGCTCATGGCTTGCTTCGAGGTTCTGATACGATGGGCTACTCAAGTCGCTGATGTCCTCCAATGAATGGCCTTCGTGAGGGGATACGACAGTCATGCTGTCAGATTTTCTCGGGGTATCCTCGCCATCCTTTGGGTTCGAGGTTAGGGACGAAGAGACAAAGATATTTCATGTTTGTTCAATACATACTTCATTTGTTTGCCAGCTCCTTCCTGTGCTGCTTGCACTTCTCTCCTGCAATAACTTTTCAATCTTGGACTCAAGCGACCTCACATATGCTAAAGAGGGAGGTTTATCATAATGACAATGGCTATTGTGGGCTATACAGGTTGAACACTGAGGTTGCCGACTGTCACATTTGCTCTGAAGATGCTTCAGTCAGCTCCAGTTTCGAGGACTACGCAGGGCAGAGACAATGGGCAAGGAAAGGGACGGGCCCGACAGGTTACCTTGCGTCGCCGGCAGTTACTACAGATTGCCCGTCTCCTGCTAGGTGTAGATCCATGACCTTTGGTGCTTTTCTTTGCCTCGTCCATTGGTCACAGAAGGATCGAAGCGCGTGTGACGCCCGTCCGCAGCGTGGCGTCCAAGTACCGGCGTAATGCCGGGCGTGAGAAGTCGTTTCGACAATGTAAAGGTCGGCGCGGTGCATGCCCTTGATTGAGATTATAGGTGTTTGAAGAAAAAATAGACTCGTGGCGACTTGATCTAATGTTGAAGTTGGACGCCGCGGGTGAGAGTTTCCTTGAAATTAGTCCCCGCAGAAAGTGGAGTGCGGAGAATCTCACGCACGTGACTTAGACCGTTAGACAACCCTAAACCCGGGTTGCTTTCCGGAAATAATTTCCAGTCAAATATTGGAATACCCTTGCTGATTACAGGGTAGGGATTTTGGAATGACCTGGGTTTGGTTTCCGGGATCCGTCCAGTTGGATTCGGAAACCCTCTTGCTGATGGCCCCACGAGGCGATTCGCCGCGGAGAGTGAGGGAAGGCGACTTTTTGAAATTTTTCATTTCGTAGTTATCGAGAATTGTTAAAGTGTTCCACGTGAACACGGCGCAATTGAAACCACACCTCAGGAATGGCAGAGGATGACAACCAATAGATATGCCTTCACCGCTGTGCAATTTTCTACGCTTCGCCATTCAACACGCCGGTGTTCTGTTCTGCCAGTGTATCTGCCTTCAGAGCGGGGCGGTCTGTTTTCCCTGCAGTTGTCTGCGCCGGACAAACGTTAGCACAGTTTCTAAAAGCCAGTCGAGCAATCGAAACTTACACCTCCATCAACCGGCATTATCAGGCCCGTAATCCATCTGGCTTCTTTACTGCACAGAAATAAAATAGCTAGAAACTGTCAAAATATTTCCCTCGTGGTTTGCTTCTAGACATACCATAACCAACATCCCACCCAGTCCCTTCTTGCTTGAGTAGACTCTGGTTAATTCTCGCCTGACGCATCGCATCTGTCATTCCTCGCCCTCTTACCATAGGAGTGAAGACCATCCCTGGGCAGACGCAGTTTACTCTAATGTTTTCAGGTCCGTGTTGGGCGGCCATAGCTCGAGTCATCTGAACAATTGCGCCCTTCGTAGTAGGATATAGGAGGCTTGGATTGCCACCCAGAACTACGTCGTGTCAACTTTGAGGAAAACGAAAATACGTGAGACTTACGACCGCTCACGGAAGACATGTTGACGATTACACCTCTGCCATTCTTCCGCATTTCTGGAATTGTATGACGAGCCATCAGCACCATGCTCGTGACATTGATCCTGAAGTCACGGTCCCAGGCATCCATATCGATCTTCGTCGCATCTCCCATGGCTCCACCAACGCCAACTGTTCACTACTTAGCACTTTTCACTCGACCCGGTCAAGGCCGGCTCACCAATGTTAACCAGAATATGAACAGCTCCGAAAATCTCGACAGTTTTCGCAACTGCATTCTTACATGATTCTTCGTCCGTGACATCCGTTTGAATCACTTCTGAGATTCCGCCCTCAGCATCAATCATTCCTTTTGTCTCGGCAGCCCACTCGGCGCTGAAATCTACCAGAGCTACCTTAGCTCCTTGTCGAGCGAGGAGGATTGCTGTTGCTCGACCATTGCCAATTTCGCCTATGAAGGTTGAGAAAATCTGAGAACTGAGAGAGTAAGAGGACAATTGGAAACTCACCTACCATTCGAGACCCGGCACCAGTGACGATTGCTACTTCGCCGGTGAAGTCAAAGGCTGTCTTTGGAGGCACCATTCTCCAGTTAAAAATTCTGTTTGGGAAGGAGGAGTTGAGAGGACAATGAAAATAATTTTATTAGTGTATAATTCGACAAATTGTAAGTGTGGAGGTTGAAGTTTGAAAGAGGCAGTGTCGTCGCGGTCTCCTGCATTTGACAGTGAGATACCATTTTGTCATCATTTTGCCGTCAACTGATCAGCATTCAGCAAGTTCGATCCCGTTCTGCCTATCCCGAAGTGTACTTTGATGAGTCGGCCAGTTTCCGCGGCGTCCTTTAGGGGAGCCCCCGGTACCCCACACGCACTTGGAAGTGGCGTCTTGTGAAGTCGAGGAGTTACCGCGGGGTACAACAAACTACTGGTAGCGTTGCAGTCAACCCGTTCCTCATTTTTGACCAGGTACTTGTACATACCGAGGATAGAGAGGAATGAGTTCAAGCCATGTCTGAAGTAACTATTTGCCAACTGGGAAATTTCCTTTCTCGGGGTTTGAAGCAGTTCGGGTGCACAATCAGAAATGTTCTCTGGCCTTTAGGCACCAATGTATCTGCACAAAATTGTATTCTAGCTTTCTAGAATGACATTTATTTATTTACGCCAGTCGTCTCCCTAAATTACTTTCTCTGTGACAGCCAAAAATCGAACCACTCTATGATGCCCTTCAAACTCTGCTCTTTAACATAACCTGATAAGCTATTAGCATCCAGAACCAGCTTAAAAATCACAATGACTCACGCTCATACGGGTTCTCCATATTCCCCCTCAATGCAAATCCATGCTCGACATTTGCGAATAACTGCAACTGGTATGGCGTATTGCCAGTATGAAGAAGGTCCAAGGCTCTTCTCCGTGACTCGGTATCAAAAGTGTGGTCAATATCTGAACAGGAGAGGAATAATGGTTCTGAATACTCGTCAGAAATTCCCAGAAATGGTTGCATCAACAGGGGATATTACTCTTCAAGTTCATAAAGTGGTGCTCCTTGAGAAATGCAGGATGGCCAAAAGCACCAGCGGCGACTTCATCGCCAGCAAGCTCATTACATACATAAGGCGCACCGAAACAGTATCTATGCCAAGTCAGTCCACCGGAATAGTACAGCTCTAGACTAGTTTCATAACTTACCCGACGCAAGCGTACTTGGTTTTCGGTTGGCCATACTGTTGCTTGACTTCTCTAATCCATTTCGGAACGTTCTCATCTGCAAAAGCAGTGTGTTTTCGTTTCCAAGCTTCATAATCAAAATTTGGATCAGATTGATCATGTCTATTCTTTCTGTGCTTCCAAACGGGGTCCTACAACCACACTTTAGAATAGATATCTTGACGAAAGTGGATTCTCAAGAGGACTCACTCCTTGAAAATAATCCAAACCAAAAACGAGATATCCAGCATCAGCAAACCCATCCATTATCAATAGCCCATTGTTAAATAAGCCCCAGACATCGGGAAAATAGAGTAAGATGTTGCCATTGACCTTCCCCTCCGGTGCCGTCGAGATATATGTTTCGATGCCTGAAATGGTGGTCAGACGGCCCCGAGGTTCTCCTTCATGAATTGTGCCTTTCAGGCAGCAAGCCCCAGAAGGTTTTGCCAGATATAAATCTGCGTCTCCCATGGTATAGAAGGTCCCCTCTTCGGAGAATTCAAGATACGAAAACCTGATGCTATGGAAGGCAGTCAAAAACCGAGTTCCAAATAGGTGAAAGCAGAAATCAAGAGCGAGCCTGTTTAAATCTACGGAACTTTCGCAAGTACACTTTTGAGATCGATGGATCATCCTCCCCTGTGCTCGCCAGTTGCCACTAAGAAAGCAGACTCCTCCACCCCTGTGGTCGCCGACGGCCTCTTCCCGATTCAGTGCTTACCTGTCGTGCAGAGTGGGGTCATCGGCGAACGGCCGCGGGCTTCGACGCTGCCCAGCCCCCTTTGTGCTAATGCCCTTGGCATATGCATCCCCACAACTTTTCATGCCAGACTAATTTACCCCGTCCTCATTCTCCAGGTTGTCGGGTCCAAGTTTATTTAAGCTGGGGACGATCTTCATCCGAGTTTCCCTGATCACTCCGCTACCTCGCACCGCCTGTCTATCTGGTGTGCCTTTCAGATCAAAGTTTTCGCAGCTCTTGACATTGAAATTCTTCACCTCCAACCGACATCATGGCGGAAGTTAAGCCAGAGATCGGCCAGCTCGAATCGCACCAGAACAATGCTGCAAATGATATCGAGAAACGTCTGGAGCCCGTCGAGAGTAACGTCGATGTTCAAAAACCTGGAATTGTCAACGAGGTGGGAAGCTCAAGGTTACTCTAATGCTATATCTAACTGATTTACTTTTCTAGGATGCTGCCGTTGGTTACCGACAATATCACGAAGCTCTGCAGCTGGAATTCTCTCCGGAGGAAGTAAGCTATCTGAAACTCTCCAAACATTGCAAATGCACGAGTCTGACTTCAACCCCACAGGTAAAACGAGTGCGCTGGAAAATTGATTTCATCGTTCTGCCTATCTTCTTGGTTACCCAAGCTCTGCAGTTCATGGACCGGACTGCGTTGAACTATGCGAACTTATTCAACTACCAAAAGGCATTGGGCCTCAAGGGCCAACAGTTCAACTACCTCTCAGCCAGCAAGTGTCCCCAAGTAGCGCAAGCTATAACCCAACTAACACGCAGCAGTGATCTATGCAGGATACTTCTTCGGCCAATATCCATGCGGTTGGCTCATCGGTCGTTACCCTGCACAGAGAGTTGTTGGCGTCAGTTGTCTTCTTTGGGGGGTAATGGTTCTCGCCCTGACCGCCTGCCGAACATACCAAAGTGCTCTCGCAGTCCGATTCATCATGGGCATATTCGAGGCGGCTGTAACCCCTGGCCTTACTTTGATGACTGGATTCTGGTACACGAGGCGAGAGATCCCACTCCGTCAATGCATTTGGTATTCATCTCTTGGCTGGGGCGGTATTGTTGGTTCATATATCTCGATGGGTGTCTCGAAGCTTCCGGCGAACTTGAAACCGGAACGTTGGGAATTGATATTCTTTATTGTAAGGCTGTTTCTACTCGATTTATATCAACGCTAACGTGATTTACTCCAGCTTGGCGGGGCGACTTGTCTTTGGTCATTCGTGATCTTCTTCTTACTCTCTGACTCGCCAGCAAATTCCTTCTTTTTGACTGAACGAGAACGGCTCATTGCAGTCAGGCGAGTAGCTGGCAATGAAACCGGAATCAAGAACAAGAAGTTCGTGCCGAAGCAAGCTCTTGTTGCTTTCAAAGACCCGAAGGCATTGCTCCTCTTCACTTCAGTCTTCGCTGCGTAAGTATAACTCCGAGGGACTGATCAATCCGAGACTGATTGTGTTTGCAGAGCCATTCCAAACGGTGTCGTGAACTCCTTCTCCACAGTCATCATCCGTGATATGGTAAGCCCCGGCCCAAAAAGTCTATTGCAAGAGCTGACATGTGTCAAGGGGTTTTCAACGACTCGAACAACGGAACTCAAATCCGTTGGCGACGCAGTCCAGATCATCGCCCTCATTATCGGAGGAGCGATCACCCTCAATGTCCCAAACTGTCAGCACCCCCGCTCTCCCCCTTCTCCTAAAATGAGCTCACATGTTTCACGCAGCTCGCCTCTTAACTGCAACAGCAGCAAATATTCTCTGTGTAGTAGCAGCGGGCTGCATGGCTTACCTCCCGCGCTCGAACACTTGGGGCCGTCTCGTCAGTTTCTGGCTCGTGAACGCACAATCCGTCGGTTTTACCATCTCGCTCATTACAGTGTCCTCGAATATGGGTGGATATACCCATCGTTCAATGGCTAGTGCTATGGTTTTGTATGTCTCTCTTCCATTCTCTCCCCGTACTTCCACCTTCACTAATACTTGCATGAACAGTACGGCGTACTGTTGGGGCAACTTCGCCGGCCCCTTCGTCGTAAAAGCCTCCGAGGCACCCACTTACCACGGTGCAACGATCGGTCTCTTGGTAGGGTATAGCATCAAGATGGGCTGTCATCTGACGATGCTGGCATATATGTTCTTCACGAATCGGTATAGGGATCGGACGTATGGACCTGCCGATAAGGAGCAGAGTGAGGAGGCGGGGATGCAGGATCAGACGGAGTTTCAGAATAAGGACTTCAGATATGTGCTTTGAGGTGGGGAATGAGAAGTTGTAATGTTTTTCTTCTGTTTTTTGGAAATAGTTGCCGACTTCCTGGAGAGGCTCGCTTAATTTACGAACACTGTTCATTGCTGCTCCTTCCTCCTAAGAACGCCACCATTAAATGCAAACACGAACCAAAGCGCGAACATAACTGCGTCCCTTTGGGAGTGCCCAGTAGAGCAACGAAGACACAACGATGGAATTGTGGACAAAAAGAAACGCGTCTCAAAGTGACGAGCCCTCCAAGATATTCATAGCCCTCTTCAGAGCTTCGATGTCTAAATCAATCTCTGCTCGGAGCGCCAAAAGTTCCCTCAACTTCTCCTGGACCTTTCCATTGCCAGTAACGGTCAAGTCGCTAGTGATCGTCATCTCCGGTGAAGACGCTTCCTCGTCCTGAACTTGCACCTCCTCCATACCTTCGCCCTCAAGGTTAATGCGTGCTTCAGATGTTCGAATTACGGCAAGAGCAGAGTTTGGTGATTGACCGGGATGCCAAAGTTTCTGGTGCTTGAATAGATTGTATTTGCGAGGGAAGCCTTTGATGTGACGTCTGCATGAGGGGATGGGGCAGCAATGCGTCTTGTCTCCGTGAACTTCGCGCCTGTGCCTGTCGAGGCCACCCTTGTCGCCAAATCGAGGGTGCTTGCAGCCTAGCACATTGCAGGTGTAAGGCTTATTGTGTTTGCCCTCATGTTTCCTGACGACCGTGAGTTGGTTTGCTGACGTGGTAAAGGAGCTGACGTTAAGCTTACCGTAGAGCAGACTCCGTGAAAAATTCGCGGTCCTCTGGGCAATCAGGAAACCGGCACCGAAGTGGCGTTTTCGTGTTGGCCTCAACAACTTCAGCCAATTCGTTACGGGGGTCAATGTCTGCGTTTCTAGTGCTCATGTCAAGGTTCTCAAATTGATCGTCATGAGATTGAAAGCTAGCAGAGTCTGTTAGTCTTTTGAATGGTTTTGCGCCAGAGGTTAACTCCAGCTCACGGTTAGGTGTAATACTTTGCATTGGTATTTTGAAAGGAATTTTGGTATTTGAACAGTTCTGCAGCTCCAGAGTCGAGATAGTTTGGGTCTGTGTATACGGTTAGCGATAGCAATTTGTTTGATGGCTTCAACCGCTCACAATTTTGATCAGGTGCAATGCCAGGCAGTGAAGAATAATTCAATCTTGAATCTAACAGTTGTAAGCAGAGAACGATATTTTGTTCCGGAACTTCAAAAAGCCAATGCCGCTGGTCTGAACCGGTGGCTGACAATAAGAGATGCTGGCGGACAACCAAAATGTATTAGAAGGCTGGGTGGAGGTTCCCACGTACTGTTTGTATCGTTCTGTGAAGCGATAGATTGCTGGGCGAGAAACGAGGAACCAGCACCAGCTTTACTCATCAGCAAGAGCAACCGACTCCTGAGAATAAGAAACGTCGTACCTGCGACATTGAATTCCTGCAGGAAAATGGGGGAGGGCAAAGACGTCAAATCACGGGCGTGGCTGTGACTCGGTAGAGTGGAGTTGGTGATGTGGCAAACGTCGTTGCTTCGAGTGAGTTCCAACCAGTCATCATCATACTGGTTGATGCTAGAGAAGTCAGTCCAGTTCTCCATAGTGGATACGGTTTATAGACTTACATCACGCCGTGGGACCCGAACCTTTTCAAGCAAAAATTTGGCAGCACTTCGACATATACAGAATTGTCTTCGGGGAAGTTCCTCCATATATATTTCATTTCAGTATTTCTCGATTTTGAACATGCATGTATGCCCAGCTGAAAGTCCCAACAGAACGCGTAAGCCTAACATCATAAGCCAATTATGATTGAGCAAGATGACTCTTCTTTAGCCCTATTATTTCAATATCTCCCAATGCGGAGCGCATCGCCAGTGAAGGAGTGCCTTGGTGACTGCCCTGGGCAGAAACGCCCAGATTCTGAGGCCAGTGGCGTCCCAGACCGCCATTTGGCAAGCCGAAATTAGGTTCCTAGTGTTACACAGGGCAGACTTGCCCTGATTCTGGGGCAGTTCGGGGCGAGGCTGACTGCATCACAGCACACCGCTGGGCGCCCTTGCCCCGATTCTGAGGCATGAGGCAAGCTTGCCCAATTTTTAATCGAAGAAGAAGAAAACGCAATAACCAATTAACGAGATCATTCTCTGTTGGTTTTGTCCACCCATCAATTGCAGCAATCAGAGGTGAAGAGCGTTCAACTCAATGCCCCGCACAATTTTCACATCTCAAACCACGAAGCGTACCAGAGTAGATTTTCTTCCCCATTATGCTATTCACTAAGAAGGGAGATCGATCTATGAGTCCCCTTCCCATGCCTGCAAAATGAAGAAAACTCAACGGTATGATGTGCAAAAAACGCCAGCAAAATGTATATATGCCTGAAACGCCGAATTCAAAAGCCTGCCACTCCTCATTGATTCATGATCCATAATACCATCAATGCTCATTATTCACCCTTTCACCCAATCCCGCTCAACTGATATCGAGGAGCACATAATTCAAATCCGATTTCGAGAGCAGTTGCATCACGCAACAATCGCCTTCGCAGCTCCCCCCATACCCCACTTGAATCGTCGTAGACTGCCTGTACTTCGTGCTACTTCACGACCACAGGAACCGCCATCAATGATCGTCGAGCCATTCAGCCCACCTAACACTTCCTGCCTGCCAACTTCGCGTCCAATAACATATCCCGCTCCAAAGCCCACCACAGAGACCAGAACCACGACACCGGCAGACACAACCCACGTCAACAATGTGGGAGAAATCAAGGCCTCCTCCTCTACCGCTTGCATACGCTTCTTCTTCAATGCTCGGGTCTTCTCTCCTGGTTTGGAGGCGGCGGCCTTTCGTTTACCCTTCTCGACTGCTTCTTGGCTTGATATCGAGGGGCTGCTGCGAGCACGGGTAGAGGGACTCATGTGCCTGCTTGTGTTCGCTGTTGGGGTCGTGGGAGCCATTAATTCTGATTCGGGCACAAATCTTAGACCCATCGGCTCATTGCCCATTGTAGTAGGTTGCTGACCTCGTTTCGGCAGACCCCTCGCGGCAGCTGCCCCAATCGATAGCAGTGTTGTAAGAGAAGCTCGGAGCGCTGCATCGTGGTCTGCTTGTGGGTTGTAGGAGGAGCGTTGTCGTGATACGTTTCGGGATGGGTATGGTGGTCTCGTGCTCGAGCCGGCATGCGGAGGGAAGTAGGAACTGGGGAGAGAGGATCGGTGGGATGGCGGAGGGTGTGAGAACGCGTTCGGTTGGGGTGTAAAAGCCGGCTCTCCAGCATCTGTTCTCTTTCCCAAGGCTGTGGCATTTTCGTCATCGTCATCTGAATCGGATCCAGCATCGTATTCTGTCCTCGAAACTGTAGATAATCGCGTGGTCGGGATTGGGATAACGTGTTCGTTGGAGCTGGTCATCACTTGGTCGTCCTCGCTCTCGCTCTCTTCGTATTCTTCCTGGCTGCTTGTATTCTGTCGTGGGTGGAGGCTGGTTTGAGGAGCTCCTGCTTGGACCCGCCGCCGCCTTCGCACATTGGAATCCTGCTGTACTCGAAGACCAGTAATCACAATCTCGTCGCCGATGGAGGAGAGGGAGGAGGATGATGGTTGCGAGGCTATCTCGACCCAGGATTCTGGGAGATTTAGCTGATGGTCTGGATTTGCAGAGGGAATTCTACCTTCACTGCGCAGCCGCGGAGGAACTCCTGATGATTGTGCCATAGATTCTGCATTTTTTGACCGGTTGCTTTGGGCCATGGTATCTTGTCGAGGCGGGTTGTTGTTTTGTAGAGGAGGCATGATGGTGAAGGCGGGGTTGGAGAGCGGTGAGGTTATACGAGGAATGTTGGCAGATGGGGCCCAATATTATGCCAAGTCAATCGAGACTGTCCCGTGGGCTTTGGATACCCACGATGCTATCTGCAAACGCAGACAGACCGCTCTTCTGGCTGCAGCGCTTCGTCGTCGTCGAGGTGGTGAATCGAGGAATGGGGGTAGTTGGCGCTTGGCAGTTCTCTGAGCGGGGACAAGCCGAGTACCGGTCGTTTGAGAGCTCGAGGAAAAAAGAAAGCGATTGTCGACGAAGCTCAAGATCAAAAGAAGAATTGTATCCTGAAGCTTGAAAGTTGAAGGTTGAAGGTTGAAAGTTGCGAAAAGAATAGGTCAGATGGTCCCGCGCAACGGCGCAGGTGGTTGCGTGCTGACGATGATCGCTCAGCCCCGTGTGGAATGTCTTGGGTTTGGCGCTCCAGAGTCTCAGCAGAACAGGTTCGAGGCGGGCAGTGACGATAACGATAAGCCTGAGACGGTGAGCCGAAGAGGCGTGCAGATCTCGGGGATCCACATTACCGAAGTAATTCCCAGTGATTCCGTATCTTCTTCTGAGAAGATATTTGAACATTCAAATGGAGTGCACAAAGAGAAGTAAGAGAAGTTGAAGTACTCTTGTCTTCTCAGCTGGCCCGCAAGCAGCCACCAAGCCAGGAGGGGGGAGGACAGCGCAAGGTACGGATTCTCAGGCGTGTCAGGGTCCCGTGCTCTAAATCCGTTGCATCACGCTGTGAACTTCGAGGTGCGGAGTTGTCGAATCAGAGAATTAATTCCCCGTGTTAATTCATGATTGGTTTGGATGTGCGATCGTCCCCTTTTCAAGGAACACCGGAGTTTGGTCATGTGGTTTCATGTCACATGAAATGAACATCAATCCCAGGTTTTCTTTATTTGAAACGTCTCGCTAGAACTCTATTTCATCCTGCACATCTCTCTTGAATGGCCAGGAAACCTCAACTGATATGATTTGATTAGGGAATATATGGCTTAATCCGGTTTGATTCGTACGCTCTAATGAAATCAAATCAAATCATTTAACACACTGCCACTTGACTAAGCTGTGTCTTAGAAGGGCTTCCGACGGAGGCAGATGCCTGCCTGCGCTGTCACACGGTGTATCTTCAATCATTCCAGATTTGTACTCAGTCCACACATCTCCTCGCTGTCACGAAGCAATTTCCATTTCTTTCAACACCCCTTCTGATAATAACGCGGAATTTTAAGATCTTGCCTGGGCCAAGTGGTGGACAGGCATGCATTTCCAATTCCCATGCCGGGATTTTTTGATTGATCTTGAAGTCAATTGACCACCCAGTCCCGGCTCAAGTATATTAGGCAATGCAATAACGATCGTAACTAACACCAGCACCACCACCACAATGAAGATTGCGCTCGTAAATCGCGTCGATCTGAGCATATAAAGACTTCTTCTACCCCATACTCAATTCCAATTTCTCATTCGACTGCACTCAAGATGTTGACCTCAATTGGGCTCACAGCTCTCTTGACTCTCCTAGCTGCTGCATCCCCACTTCGAGTCCGCACTCCGTATGCTGTGAGGGAATCTCATCTAGTCCCTAGAAATGGTCCTGAGTTGGCCCCGCACCTGCAAACCATATATTCAATCTCCAAATCGGTCTAAAGCAAGGGAATTTCAACGAACTCGAGAGGCACCTATATCAGGGTATGTATACCACAAAGCATTGCAACGCAACTAAGATTCTCAGTCTCCAACCCGTCACACGAGCAATATGGCCAGCATCTCAGCACACACGAGGTGAACGCCCTCGTCAAACCTATGGATGAAGCATTAGACTTGGTACACTCGTGGGTCGAAGACAATGGCATCAAAACCTCAAACTGCGAGTATAGCCCCGCCAAAGATTGGATCAAGCTCTCACCCCCCATAAACGCCATCGAGAATCTGCTCTCCACAGAATACTCCGTCTTCCAGTACTCCGAAGGCGGGTACACCAAAATGGTCACTCCCCCAGCACCTCCACGACCACATCACCGCAATCCAACCCACAACCTCCTTCTCCCCCGGAAAGCTCGGCTGGACATTCAAAGAAGTTCTCGACATCTCCTCCGCGATCCCTCCACAGTCAACAAATGGGACCCCTAGGAACACAAACCCGGCCATTGCAACAGCCTGCAACGCTGCACTCGTGACACCCCTCTGCCTCCGCGCCTTATACGGAACAGTGAAGTATACCGTGCAATCCACAAACACCAACAAAATCGCATTGAACGATTTCCTTGGCGAGTCTAACAACAGATCAGACACCAAGATCTTCCTGCAGAAATATCGACCAGATGCAGTTTCCGGCGTAGATACATTCAAAGTGGAGATCATAGCCGGCCGAAAAGATGAGCAGACGCAGGACACCGCTGCTGAGCTAGCAGCAGGGAAGGACACGGAAGGGAACCTTGATTCCGAAACACTTATTTCGATGGCCTACCCGATCCCTCTCATTCCTTACCGTACCGGAGGACATCAGCCTTTTACACCAGATTTGTTCCGTATCTCGACTGGTTGAATTACGTTCTGAATCAGGCGAGCTTGCCCCATGTTATAAGCACGAGTTACGCAGACGACGAGCAAACCGTCCCCCTCTCCTACGCCCTCAGCGTCTGCTCTAGCTTTGCGCAGCTCGGCGCCAGAGGAGTCTCCCTCTTTTCGGGATCAGGGGACTTCGGCGTTGGGCCACCAGGTGACTGCCTCGCCAACGACGAATACCATGCCTCGACCTTCTTGGCCCGGTTTCCCACTTCTTGCCCGTATATCACGAGTGTGGGAGCAACAAAATTCATACCGGAAATTGTGGCCACGGATGGGAAGAACAAGTTTGCTTCTGGCGGTGGTTTAGTCGGTACTTTGCACGGCCGGCGTATCAGGATGCTGTGGATTCTCCCTATGTAAAGGCGTTGGGAAACAAATTTTGGGACTTTATAATCCTTCGGGAAGGGCGTATCCGGATCTCGCGGCACAGGGGTATCACTACTCTACGATTTGGAACGGCACGCTTCTCCCCTTGGATGGAACGAGTGCGAGCACACCTACTGCTGCTGCGATCTTTAGTTTGGTGAATGATGATTTGATTGCAAAGGGGAAGCCTCCGATGGGGTTCCTGAATCCGTGGTTGTATAGTGTAGGGTATAAAGGGTTTATGGATGTCGTTCATGGGAGTGCTGTTGGTTGTGGCACGCATGGCTTTCCGGCGAAGAAGGGGCGGGATGCTGTGACGGGTTTTGGGACGCCGTGGTTCCCTAGTATTGGGGAGTTGGCTGCGAATGCGAGTGCTATTGTTCTCAAGAGATGATTTGCGGAGGGCCGGAGATGATCGTAGAGGTGGAAGTGAATAAGCAAGAGAAGACATATTTGGTGTCAATAATAGGTACTACTACTCGAATAATCTTCCTTCGTCCCTGGGAATGCACCGACTGGCTCCTGCCTCTCATCTTCTTCGCCTGAGCTGCCGTCTCCGTAATCATCTGACCGATCCGGGGGTGCTCGCATACTCTCCAAGATCGAGGCATCGAGAACTGGTAGAATGAGTGGTTTCAAAGCGTGAATTTCGCGTCCAGAAGGCATGGTTGCCACCAAAGGTCCAATGGGAGGGATAGCCTGCGTGTTGATCTGCAGCAAAGTTAATACAAGACTCAGGTTCCAAGGGAGAATGGCTTACAGTATCATTCATCTTCACCCACTTCTTCTCCAACATCTCCAGCACCCTCTGCTCTTCTGCCCTCCCCGCATCAGCGCCCCAATGAGAACTCTTCTCAACCCTCCTGTCCTCCCTCTTCTCCTCCCACCCCTTCTTCAGCCTCCCAAAGCTCAACCCCTTCTTCGCCTCTCCCTCTCCGCTCTTAAAGCCCAACTCATGCATTCCAGCATGCAACCACGCAATCCCCTCCCCATTCTTCCCACCCAACTCGGCATCAATCCCAAAGAAGCGACACGCTTTCCCCCTCCCTGTCCTTCTCAAATCGTCCACATAGCCCACCAAACCACTATCCATTTTCCCCACGCCCTTCCCAGCACTAGCACCCAGCAGCGCCAACGCATTAGCAGCGTGCTCCGCAGCCGCTAAACACAACCTCGCAAATAAATGCGCTCGCACCTTGGGGATTTCGGGCGCTTTGATCATCCATTCTTTGTCATTCTTGTTGCGATCCTGTGCAACGGCTGCCGGGTAAGGGTCGTCTTTTGATACAGCGAGAAGTGTGGCTTCTGCAAGTGCGAGCGAGGAGAGCGCGGAAAAGGTGGATTTTGTGATGTCGATGCAAGGTGGTGATGAAGCTACGGAATCAGAGCGGTGAGAGAGGTAGGCGTGGATTGAGGCTGCTGAGAGCAGATGCTTTGTTGCTGTTTGGATGGCGAGAGTTCGGGCTTCCGTTGACGGGGATGAAGCGGCTGATGAGTAGAGGGGTTGCAGTGAAGACCGAGAGAGTAGGGTATAGGTGTATGCTAGAGTTGATAGGACGAAGTATATCTCAAATTCCAGGGACTGGATCTTCAGACGCCCTTTTTCCCGTCCGGGGAGAGTGGAGTCTGACAGTGTGGGCCGCCATTCGACTGTTGGTGTTGACTTGAGGACGACGTCGAGCTCTTCTCCTGCTATGGGCTGACTTCCTAATCCAGAGTCTACTGCGAGAAGATATGGGACGTAGTTGTTTAGAGATAGGAGAATGGATGCTAGATGTGGTGATTGCTCAGATGGAGGGAGCCGTTTGTGCTTCTTGAGAGCATCTCTAAGGACACCACGGTAGGTGCTGGCTGAAAGGGGAAGAGAGGGATGCGAGTCGCTTCCGAAGTAAGTGGAGAATGAAAATGAGGATGTCGTCGGAAGTGTAAATGGGAAAGGCATGTTGACCTGAGCTGGCAGACCAAGAGCAGCTCAAGTGTAGCCTCGATGGCGGGCCTGGAGGGGTAATTTTGAGAGCTCTGGTGCTGCTCCAGGGCCGGTTTAAGTTGGATAAGACAGAAATTTATTGAAGCCTTTATGAACTGCTTGAATGTATTCCGAAAGTGACAATCAAGTAAGCCGCATTGAGATTTGTGGATGGAGACGTAGTGGATGAAACTGAGGGGTTTTGGCAGTTGTTGTCTTCTGCAAGGCTGTGAAGGTCGAAATTAGCGAGGTGCGGGTGAGAATAGTGAGAAACCATCGACGTCACCCCCCCTGGCGGGGATCTACTAACACATGAAAACATAATGGTCATGATTTTGTTGCTCGCAAATCTTTTTTGAATACTACAAGTTCACGTGCTTCCGAAGTTTCAGAGTTCCTTGGCATAAAATCACACGAAAATACTCACATCAACCATGTCTGCCTCCCAAAACCAGTCCAGTCTCAACGAAGCACGAGGTGCTGGAACAACCTTCGGCCCCGACGATGTCAATCCCTCCTCCGAAGCGACTCCTGGAATGTCAGTAGGCTCCGCCACAGTAGCTGGCCATGGTCAACACCCTCGGGACCTCGGAGACGACAGCAATGCAACAATGCCAGGATCAAAAATCGGACCACAGAACGAAGATCTCGACGGAGAGCAAATGCGCGCTTCTGGTGAAGGAGAAGTCATGGATGCCCAGTTCAACAAGAAGAATGCGGGATGGGGAGAGCAGGAGAGTATGACAAGTGATCTGGATAGACAGAAGGCAGAGCAAAAGGGTGCTAGGGAGGAGATAAAAGCTGCGAGAAACGAAGGAGCAAACGTAGATGGAGGAGCGGGAAACAGGGTGGAGAATGAAGGGATGAACTCTGTCTGAGATATTTGGGGTCCATAAAAGCATCTTTTTGGGTATTGTCAAATCTTGTATAGTACATACCAAGCCTTAACGCCGTCGCAATGCATCAAATCATCCCACCCAATACCTAGAATTCCATTTCTTCCACGGTATCGTCCCCCAAAGAACTCAAAGCTGAAGACTGTCGCCGTGACGATGGCATCGTAGATTCTGAGTTTAGGGGGTTCTTGAGCCTCTCTGCCCATTCCTTTAGACTTGTGACCTCGCTGCCCTCGACCTTGATAACCCTCGGTTCTGCAGGCTTCCCAAGTACGGTCCCAATGTATCTCGTCTCTGCGTCCGTCGTGCTGTGCTTCTTCTTGAGAACTGGACCTTGTTAGACCTATGATCTCCATCTGCCGAGGAGACAAACCAGTCAAATAATCCTCCTTTGCGCCATCACTTCCCTCCAACGCAACGCGCCTGATTTCGGAGTTGACCTTTCCCATTGCCCATGCTACGAACGCATCCACGCCTCGAGTATCTTCTTGCCCATAAAACTCCTGCTCCTCCATCACTTTCTCCGGAATCAGCGCCCCGCAATCCTGCATAGCCATCCTGATATCTTGGATCGAAATTTCTAGCGAAAGCTCGGGTTCGTTGTGATTGACGGAAGCGTGTCTCGCGGTGGTTTGCGCAAGAAGGAAAATGTACCTAGCCGCAAGATCTGTGAGGGTGTCAAGCACAGATGGACGCGTCGAGTGGTAGCCTGCGGCCCGCAGAATTTGGAGAATGCAGGGCCGCAGAAGGGAATGGTGAAGCGCTTGAGGAGTTGTCATTTTGGATTGTGTTATCACAGGAGGGACAACTCAAGGTCAAGGGATGGGTGATGTGGGAAGCTTCATGGCCAGCGTGTCAAAGCCACTTGAGCTGTAGATGTTTGACAAGCACTGAGAATTTGTGTGAGAAAGTGAATGTGATGCAAGGTTTTCCTTTGAGGGAAATGGGAATATTTCGGCACTAGTTGTCTTAGTGGCTACCGTATCAAATTTCCATATCATCATCAGCCTTGCCTTCCCCACAACTTCGACATCCAAGAGCATTCAACTCCATGCCGCACCACTTCTGGATCCGAACGTCAACAAGAACGTAAGGACCGCGCATACAGCCCTGACTGTACTTGCGCGAACATATGCCTTCATCAAGATGTCGTTCAAGCTCAAGTTGAATGTCAACACCGCTGTCCCTTCCACCACCTCGCTCGCAACTCCTGCTCTCGCCACGCCTTTAGCAACACCTGGCGGACGACCGAAACTGAAGATCACGAATAAATCTGTGCCCCCTACACCTGCTACTGGAGAAGAGCTGGTAAAGGGCAAGAAGACCAAGGCAGGCAGAGCCCCGAAGCCGAGCGCGAAGGTCGTTGAGAGTCGAAAGCGCGTCAAGGAAGAAAGCGATACCGAGGGAGAGGGGTCTACAATCCAGGTTGCAGCACCTGCAGCCACCCAGGTCTCGGCACCGCCATCGAAGAAGATCAAGCTCAGCATTGGAGGTCCGAAGACACCTGCTACTCCCGTTGTACTCAAGGCCAAACTCAAGGGCAAGCCGCCGGTTCGACCTTTGGGAGAGGGATATGATTCAGAAGCTAGCGACCGCGAGGAGGACCCAGCGATCGAGGAGGAGTTCGTTTTGCGAATGGCTCCAGGAGACGATTGCGACTACTTGAGAGAAATGATCAATAAGAAGCTGATTGGTACAGCGAAGTCACAAGGTGGACCAGATATTCACATGAAGTTCTTCCTCGACGGACGCCGGGCAGCTATCACGATTCGAAAGAACGTTTATGCGGCTACACTAGTTGACCTACCGACTGTCATTGAGGGGATGAAGAGTTGGGACAAGAGAAATTGGTTGAAGAGTGCGGATATTTGCCAAATGCTTTGGGTGTTTGCGCCGATCAAGAAGGAAGAAGAAGCTAAGACTATCCCATTACCAGCCGCCGTTGATGAAAAGACACACCAATTCCCCCACGGTCTGACACCTCCTATGCAATATGCTCGTCGAAACCGATTCCGACATCGCCTCCACAAGACACAAATCGAAGAAGTCGAGGATGAGGTGAACAGGCTTCTGGCGGCTGACTTAGACGCCTCCGAGACCTACGCTACGTTTATTGATCCGGACGTGGACGATAGACGCGCGAGTCAAGCATTGAGTCCTGGTAGCAGTGGTGGAGACTATGATATGGGCGAGCAGCTATACTCAGAAGATGAAGATGCGGAAGGAGAGGCGGATGAGACTGAGTACTTTACCGGCAATCATCACGGGAATAATCTTGAGGAAACTCAGGAAGAGGAGCCTGAGGGGGATATCTTTGATCTGGATGCTGCCCTGGCTGATCATGTTGAACCTGACACACCCATGTCGACTGCAGAAGCAACACCTTCCCAGGCGAACGGAGCCGCAGGTACTCCCATAGAGGATAGCGGGGATGAATCACCGGAGGATGATGGTGATGATGACGACGAAGACGAAGAAGAGGAGATTGATGAAGAGGAGAAGGCAAGGTTGGCACAGATTGAAGGCACGAGGGAAGACATTGCCGATCTGGAGAAGCAGATTGCCAATGTGCAGGTTCAGTGGACTGCCCAGTCGAATCAACTTCTGCGAAGGCGCTTGGAGGATAATTTGAGAAAGCTCAAGCAAGAATTGCAGCTGAAGAAGTCCTCGATTGGAGAGGGCGAGGAGAATGAATGATTATGGGAAGGCTTTGTGTGGTTGGGAAGGCGTTTGTTTTGCAGCATTAACGCATATCCCCGGCGTTGAATTTTCAGAGCCTCCATATTTGGGAAGTTCTCATTGACCACAAAGTCCCTATGTACGATATTCAGATAAAGGGAGGCTTCGATGGCTTCGATTGGCAAGCTGCCAGTCTATGATGTAGATACCAAAATTCTACAACATGTTCCATGCATCCATATTATATACAGTCATCCCTCTCCCATCTCCACTACATCCCCAAAACCACGCCTATTATACACCCTCCCTCCCAAGTCCTCTTTCGTGCCAAGCTCTCTTACATGCTCTTCAGATAATTTGCCTCTTTAATCGACTTCCTTCTCTCCTCCCTCAGTGCAGCCCTCAATTCTTGCCTTCTACTATCCGCTTCCAACGCACCCTCAATTGTCCCCTCTTCATTCCCCGGAAGGTCAATACTCTGCTGCGTCAATGGGATCTTCGGTTGCAACGCCGACATATCACCCGATGCTAACATTTGCGCCTCTAGCTTCCTCTGTTGCTTTGCTGCTTTTCGGCGGAGCTTCTTGGACTTGGCTATTCAAATTGCCCAATTAGCAAAGGTAATATGGTAACGGAGGAGGAAACTAGAAGAGGCATACAAAACAAATCCCCCACAGCACCCTCCTCATCGCTTCCCTTCTTCTTCACATCCAGACACCGCCATAACCACTCAGGATACTCCTCATCTTCAAGTGCGACTGGATCATTTCTCCCCTTCAAATAATTCAATCCCTTCAATCTCGTGCCTGCTTTGCAATTAGATATCGGGAATTGTAGACTACTCTTTGGTTTTGTTGGTAGGGGGGTGGAGGAGGGCGAGGGTGTGAGAGGATTTGTGAAGGGTTGCGCGAGGCCGGTGGATGTCGCTGCTGCTGGGGACGTGGACTCGAGAAATGGTCGGGAAGTCGAGAAGAGGCGGGGGATGGAAGATTGAGGAATGCGGGAGGCCGCCCGTCGCAGGCAGCGCGTGCAGATCATGGTGCTGGTGAGGTTGGACCTGGATGGTGTTTGATGGTTTAGTTCTGGGGATATTTTTTGGAAGTTGTACGGTTGGCGAGAAGGACAATTTGCGTCTGCAATATCAAGCTGCACTCATGCTGAGAGGCAGGAGTCTGACCATGATTAATTTTTGCAAAAAGAGAAAGGGATTTTGTGAAATGTCTCGTAGGTACAATTCAGGCCCTAAGATTAATGCCGGCTTTCAATTGAGCAACGTGAAAGATGAAATTAGTCAGGAACTCCGGCTGCTGCGCCTCTGTGAAGCTTCTGCGGTCTTTCAGGTCAAGGAACGAGATGATCACAATTGATGGATGGACAATCGATGTTTGCACAATATATCCTATTTACAATTGTACAGAATTGAAGTACTGCTGAGCTCCAATCGTACGATTCATGAGTGGGCAGAGGAGGATGCCAACATCCAGCTCGAGCAGTGATCCCCAAGCTCCAGTCCACATCTTCGGCTTTCAAAGATGATCATCTAAGTTACAACTCTGGCCACGGACTGTAGTCTACTGCCAGACATCGTCCACCTATTCCTTCGGCACGTAGTTTTGTTGCTGAAACAGATATCCCTTGACCTTCGACTCCTTCAATAGCTCAAAGTAACGCTCTGTAGAAGCACACCACGTTAGCAAATTGTGCCGTAGACCTTCCCCAGCATGCAGAACCACTTCGGCCGCCCCATCAGTCCTCAATCACATCCAAAGCTTACCTCTTAGGGCTCCGCACTTCTCCAAATGGTTCACCCCTTCTCGGTAATAGCACTTCCCTAGTTCCTCTCTGACTAATCTCGCCATCATGCTCTTGACCCATTGCTCTCGTATAATCGCGTCTTGTGCTTGTTTCAATCGAGGTGTATCGTCGTAGTCAACTCCGTCGAAGGTCGGAGGAACCTTTGGCTTTTTCGCAAGGAACGCCTCGGACTCAGGGGTAGGCATTGTGAGGGGAGGTTGTGCTCTCTGGACAGGAGAGGTTCGGAGAGAGCAATTGATGGGTTGGTACGGAGAACAAGCAGTTGACGAGCAGTCGTCGCAATGAGGAGGTGGTGATGCTTCAAATCGCAAGTCACGTTTCCGAAAATGTTAACGCCTCATGCTACCAGGCCACAATTTGCGGGCTACACCGCCTACACCGCTTAGCGCCGCACTACGATAGGCTAGCGCAAAGAAAAATTCGTTCTGATAAGAGCTTCTTTTCCCCACCGCCTCGATCTTTTCCTCTTCCCAACCTCTCCCCAAAAACATCCATCTCGAACATCTTCTCGAATCTCCCATCCCCCCATCTTCTTGTATCCGTTTTCTTACGAACATCCATACAGCCGACGCAATGGCAAAGACCAAGGAACCCAAGACTGGCAGCAAGTCCAAGTCGGAGGTCAAATCTCTCTCAGCTGTCAAAAACGCGTCTGTCACTAAACCCTCTCAGACTCCCATCGCCAAGTCCAAGCAAATCGCCAAGAATGTTGCATCCAAGGTGAACGGCAAGAAGGAGAAGAAACCAGTCGTTAAGGCTGCCACTCCCTCCTCTGACGACGAGTCCGACTCGGTCTCTTCTGCGTCCGAAGACTCGGCCAGCGACTCTGAAGTTGAGGTCCCTGTCAAGGCTGCCCCAGTCACAAACGGCAAGGCCAACGGCAAGCTCAATGGCAAGACGAACGGTGCTGCGAAGAAAGAGGTAGATACCTCTTCTGAATCCTCTTCCTCCTCTGATTCATCCGACGATGATTCCGAGGAGTCCGATTCCGATTCTGAAGCTGAACCTGCAAAGCCCGAAGCCGCTTCCGACAGCGAGAATGACGATAGCGACAGTGACGACTCTGCTTCCGACTCTGAGGAGACGAAACCCGTCGTTGCAAAGCCTGTTGAGAAGAAGATTGCGGCACCAAAGGCTGCTACAAATGGCGCTGCAAAGCCGGCTGTCAAGGCTGTAAGTTCTTCTGTGGAGAAAATATCATTCAATAACTAACATCGCAGGAGGAATCCGAGGAGGAGGAAGACAGTGATGATTCTGCTTCGTCTGTTTCCAGCGACGACGACGATGATGCATCCGATTCCAGCGATAGCGAGAGTGAGACCGAGGCACCAAGCAAGAAGCGCAAGGCCGAAGAGGAGCCAGTTGAATCCACAAAGAAGACCAAGACCGAGACCGCCGTCGAAGACAATGGATCCAAGAACCTGTTCGTTGGCAACTTGAGCTGGAACATCGATGATGAGTGGCTGTACCGCGAGTTCGAGGAGTTCGGTGAGATCACACGCGCCAATGTCTTGACTGACAGAGAGTCCGGTCGCTCCAAGGGTTTCGGATATGTTGAGTTCGCCAGTTCAGCATCTGCTGCTGCTGCTCTCGAAGCTAAAAAGGGCTCACTAATTGATGGTCGTGAAGCAAATGTCGACTTCTCCACTCCCCGTGACAAGGCCGCACCAAAGGACCGCGCACAGAACAGAGCTCAGCAGTTCGGCGATTCCAAGAACCCTCCTTCCGACACTCTCTTCTGTGGTAACCTCTCATTCGACGCTACCGAAGATGTTGTTGGAGAGGCTTTCGGCGAGCACGGTACAGTTGTCAATGTTAGACTTCCAACTGACATGTGAGTTTATTTGCCCTAAACACATACACATGTTACTAATTATTTGATAGGGATTCTGGAAACCCTAAGGGCTTTGGCTATGTTACCTTCAGTTCCGTCCAAGATGCCGAGAAGGCATATGAACAAATGATGGGCGCAGAAATTGCTGGCCGACCAGTCCGACTTGATTTCGCGACTCCACGCCCTGAACGATCCGAGGGAGGATTTTCTCGAGGGGGCGGCCGAGGTGGCGGACGAGGATTTGGCGGAGACAGAGGACGTGGTGGTCGTGGAGGTAAGCCTTACTACTCATTTCTTTTCCGGTTTTGATCGCTCATCTCCTGGGCCCTCTCATGTCTCTTGCCTCAGAAATAACCGGTACTAATTGATCTATAGGTGGACGAGGTGGCGGACGCGGCGGTTTCAATGACAGAGGACGTGGCGGATCGAGAGGTGGCCGTGGAGCTTCGACCAACCGTGGAGGTTTCGGAGACTTCAAAGGCAAGAAGCAGACTTTTTAAGTCTAGAGGCATCGCTTGAGGACTGCATGCCCGTCAACACTGCCGCACAATTCTTCTTCGGAAGATAAGTGTTGACTTGTGGGTCGTTGGCTTTGTGGGTTGTGGGCTCTTGACTATACTGCTTCGGCAGCTGTGGGCTTTGAGATCATACTTGTGGGCTTGAGACATTACACAGTGGGCGTTGGCTTGTGGCTGTCCCTTTGGCCTGTCTGCACGCAGCAGAAACTGGCCTGGCTTTTTGACTTTACACATATCATATGGGCGTTTGGGATTCATGACCGTTCTGTGGGCTTTGGCTACGAAGTCGAGATGAACCTTCTTATATCTTCCTCCCTTTTGGGATGGGTATCTTGGAGCGGATCGAGCTTCATGTGGGCTTCTCGAAGATCAATCATCCTGTGGGGCGTGGAAAAGTTCTTGTTTGTTTCCTTGGCTAGCTGTACGTTTCGATAATGTTGTGCGTAGTCTCGCACGTCTCTGTACCATATGGTGAGTATACCTTGCTCTCTGGATTGGTTGCTGCTTGCATTTCCTCCCCCGCAAACCATTCATTTCTGCTTATGAATTGAAACATCAAAACTCAACAATCTTGCTCCGCTTGACGTGATATTCATGCTTGCATTTTGTGAATCCCGCCATTAGCAATGTTTGGTGTCAAGACCCATATTATCATTGATTGCGACTGCCTCCACTTAGGTGCTTACCAGGACTGCGAGTTGGAAGCCAATAAACTTCAGGGTCATTTTGAAGGGATAGGTTCGCGGATATCCCGAGGCGACCTAGTTGTTTCCGAAATTACGACATCTCCATCTCTGTTATCCCAGCTTAAAAGACATTCCACGATTGATTTCGCTTTCGGGTTTTTGGGCTCGCTGGCGATAATCGACGATCAGCACTCAACCTAGACAAAAAATACCACGCCAGTATCGTGAGAGCTGTAGTTGGCAGACCCAGCAATCGCAGCAACCAAAAGCCACCAGATGCCTTCAATTTCCCTTTCACGCTATCTAAAAAGTCGGCATTGAAGAATTGAGTTCCGAAGAGTGACTGCAGGATATCAGCAGAGAGAAAAACTCAAGCGAAAAGGGTCAACATACCGCAACTCAGTCAGTGGAAGGAAAATCAGAGTCATGATTGCGATTGTCTTCATCGAATGGCTATCCTGCTGGAGTATGATGCTGTCTCTCTAGGTCGTCTGATGGAATGCCTCGCTAATATTAGCTTTAGGAGAAAATACTTACAAGATTGATCACATTTTTTCAATTGATCGAACTCGAAGGCCCAACGAGTTGAACGCACTGAGCATATATTGCGAGTCCTTTTTTGTGGCCGGGATAGCAGGATGCGGTGCAAGATCACGAAATTGAGAAGGATTGAACATCTCCCTGTGTGCTTTCCGTATCGCTTTTGCAGTGTCGATAATAGCATCGCAGGCTTCCTTCAAGTGTATGGCGATCTTTTCCAGATTGTGAAGAATCACAAAGTTCGCCTCGTACTCTTGTCATTTCCTGCTTTTGTGCGTCCGCGTATCTGAATATTTGCTGTCAACAGTCAGCAGAATTACCTGCTCGGATAGAATACAACCCTCCTCCTGGTGGTTAAACACTGAGATCAAATCCCAAATAACCGAATCCATTCGTGAGTATAGTTCATCCAAGATGGTAACAAATAGAGCATACGGGTCGTAAAGCGCGCTCTGCACATTGTCTGCATTCTCTATGAGCCTTCTCAGCCGCCCCTGAATTCTCGGGTACGATCCGACGCAGCAGAGGAAATGTCACCTCCTGCTTCATTCCACTTCACGAAAAGGCCTCCCTGGATCCAGCTTGGGCCGCCGGCTGCCAAGTGGTGTTGCGATCCAGAACCGCAGATATCAGAATTGCTATTAGCAGTGAGATTTAACACAATGTTTTGGCACGGGGAATGCAACCATGAATCTAGCCCCAGTCAGAAAAACACAACAACAGGTTAGGTGGTTCTTGCCTTGGGTGTTGTGATTTGCATCTCTTATACCAAAAGAATTTGTCACGCCGACAACTCGCTCTTCTAGAAAGACACTAGGGACGGAGAACCCCTCGAAGATTTCCTTCAACTCTAATATATTGTTTTTATCAGGCTCGTCGACTCCGGGGAATCTGTAGCTTGTTAGTTCTTGCATATGTGAAGCCCGGTGTTAAACATTTTGAGTTTCTAGTTTGGTGGGACTAGCGCTTGGAATCTTGCTCCGTTTTCTTCGATTTCTTCTCACACCGCCTGAATGTCGTGTTTCCCCTATTTCTCTGAGATGCTCCCTTAGCTTAAGTTTTTTCGTTGCAGCTCGTTTCTAGGATTTGGATTAGCAAACGCAAGTTACTTTGTTAGAGCGTTTCTTCACCTGTGTCACTTGGTTTAAATACTATTTGTTTTGATGGACTAATGATCTTTGATGTCGTAAGCACACCACCACCAGAGGAAAATTAAGCGAATAGATGGCCGCAAAAGGGGGTGGATATATATTTGACTATGTTCGTTATGTAAGAGATTGAAGGCGCCTTATCGATCGATCTCTTCGTTTGGAAGTAGGGTGATGACGAAGACACGCCTTCTTTGTCAAAAAGAGGAAATTCAGTGGAGCAAAGCGTTGATGGGGCCACCCACGCTCGATGCGTTTCAATGTCTAGGATAGCTCGTGCTCAGACCCAGGCCGAGAACGTTTCCAAGGCTTCTCCTAAACAATCTATAAACCGAAGTCGCACAGAGGTCTGTTCATGCATCTTACCACGGCCCGGCATTGAAAACAAGTCAGTGTACAATTGGAGATCAGACCCCTCGCTTGGATTCAAGGACAATTGCGAAGCTCATGTGAAATCTAGCTCGGAGCTTGATTATACTATAACTCCACAATCTCTCCAACACTGTATTCTTTTTCTTTCTCGCAAATCCTCATGAAGATGGCAGAATTCTCCACCAACGATCTCTATACCTGCAACGGCTGCCGCTCAGCAATCCTCGCCGACCGAGCTCGCGTATCCTGCCATGGCTGCCCAAACTACCATCTCTGCGCAAATTGTTCCGTCATAAAGCAGTTCAATAGCCCGCATGCCGAGTCCCATTCAACAATGGTCTTCAAAGTTTCTGGGTTCGTCGGTCCCCCACCGCCTGGATTTAACCGCCGAACTCCTCCTCCGTTGCCACCGAGAACGATGTCCAGCACGAGCACGAAGCAAACCAACAGGCTTTCTGAGATCCCAACTGCGAATTGGGGTGCAATATGGAACGTTATTAAGGCTCCACTGGAAAAGAAAGACAAGAAAATTCGCAAAGAGGGCATAGACGGAACTGCCAGAGACCAAGGGACCGAATTGAGGCCAGCCAGCGAATCACCGCCTCAAGACGGGTTCGAAATTGCGCCCTTGAACAGGCACCCAATGAATCAATTCCCACCTTCACCACCAAAATCCGTGCGGCAAAGAATCGAAAAAGTTGACAGTACAGCACCGTCTTATCCCCGGCCAGCGAAATGGGAGCTCTTGTTTGAGGCTGACCATACGCCAACGCCGATTTTCGTGGCGTTGATGAGCACAGTGTTCAGCCATTTAGATCCGCAGCACACCGGATATTTGAGCCCAGAGGTATATTCTGGGTTCTTGGATATTCAGGGATATCCTCTTCCTGGAAATATCTGTAGGTTGCATCTTCTCTACTCAGCTACAATTGCATGGCTGATATCAATCAGGGAAAAACGCGCTCGACAACGACGCGGGTGACGCCTCCTTAGACGTCGCTGACTTAGAACTCGGCCTCCACTTCTCGGGCCTCGCCATCTCTCATACCCTCGCTACGCGGCACAAGTCTTCTCTTTCATACGACCAAGATAATATGAAGGAGCCTACCTCTGCAGTAGAAGAAAGAATCAAGGAGTCAATGCGTTTTGGGGCAAACATGCCGATGATTTCTAGACAGGGGTTTATTGACCTTGGCAAAAGGGAGTACTTAAGGGACCCGGATGTAGGGTACAAGTATTTAAAGAGAGTGGTGTGTGAGTATGGGATATGGGGTGAGTTGGGGGAGATCCGGAGGAACATTTTGCCGGCCAGCGGGGCGGGCGAGGAAGAAGAAGACAGACCCCCATTGCCCCCCCGAGGCAACTCTCTGAGCCATATGAAGGTTGATGGGGGAGAGAAGAAGGTTGAGACATTGCTTAACGGGGATGGCTGGGAGCAATCTTCACCTGGAACCATCTCTGAAAACCCGGTCGAGATCATGGATGCGGGACAAAAGGTTACAATGCTACAACAAAACGAGGAGATCATAAAATCGGAGGGGGAACGGGAAACGAGCAAGAACACAGCAGGGTCGACCGAACAATGCGATGAGATGCCCAAGGACCAGGAACATAAAACATGGTGCGCAAATCTACAAGAGACGGATGCGGCTGAAGCAACAAGCGAGAGGGATGATGATGAAAGGCTCTCACAGTTTGTAAAAATTTGAATCGAGCCTAGGGAATGCAAGCTTTTTCCGGCGGCCGCTGGCTGTCTTCTTTTGTTCGGGGCGCTCCTACGGCTAGCTCTCCGGTGTATCTACAAACCTCAAAGCAGAGAATAAAATTTCATCCCCTCATTCCACAATTTCCACTCCTGCCAGCAGCAAGCATTGTATTAATCCGAGCCTCATTCAACAATGTGCTTACTAATATTAGAGCTAACGGGAAAAACTTGCCGTCTTCGGAATACCTGCAGATGGTACTGGGGCTGGTGCTGCTGGTGTAGCGGGAGCAAATACGGACCGTAAGAGAGAAGACATTCTACGGACTGTAAGGAGCGTTACGGGCCAGGGGCAGGCCCGTACAGCGATATTAGTAACAATCGTCTAAATCGCATTTTAAGCGCGAGCGCAAAAAGGGTCAGGAACACCAAACCCATAATATTAATTATATCGACTGCATCACCATTTATTAATAGAACTCCATAATTTTAATTAAAATAGATGGGGGCATTAGTGCGATTAATTTAAGGTACTATAGTTCTCTCCTGGACTTATAATTATTAAATTATTTGAGATCGGGCAAAAATGCGATTTTATAGCCTCGCGCGCCAAGCTTCGCCAAGCCCAGCCCCTCGATTTTCGATTTTCGTACCCCTCCAACCTCTTTCCTAAATAACTTTCAGACTACGCTTCTAGACTTAGTACTCTCGGGCTTAAATAGTTTATATAAGTGTCCCCTTACTCTCTTTAAGAGCTTATATTATTATAATAAGATTTGGGACTATGGCCGGCAAATTAATACTATTTTATACCAAAATTAAGAGTAAAAACTGCCCTTTATTAAATTATATAATTAATCTGCTTCTAGCTAAAGAGCCCTCTTATCTAAAGAAAGACCCTAATATTCCCTTACTCTCTCTAAGAGCTTAGACTATTTTAATAAGGTTTGGAACCGTGCCCGGCGAATTAATACTATTTTATACCAAAATTAAGAGTAAAATCGCTATTTACTAAACTATATAATTAATTCGCTTCTAGCCAAATAAATCTCTTACCTAAAGAAAGCCCCAAATGCCCCCATTAATTTGAGCCTATTGCTGTTTTAATTAAGGCTATCATTATTGAGAAGTCATAGAAAATAATTTCGTGGTTTTGGTGTTCTCGACCCTTTTTGCGCTCTCGCTTAAAATGCGATTTAGACGATTGTTACTAATATCGCTGTAGCGGGTACAGGGGTTGACTTACGTGCTTAGTAAAGGTAGTTGTTAAAAGAAAGAAATTTTAAAATTCGAAATTAAAGCCTACCTTATTTAACTTACCTGGAAAAAATCGCTAGCCTTTTAAGAGTGAATTTAAAGTCAAAATAAAGGTAAAATCTCTCAAACTAGTGCCTAAGCCAGAGTTAGTCATGTGACCTCGTCCGAGCGTAATGGAAAATCAAACAAAACCAACGGCATTCGAACTTCTCACAAACATGCAAACGCCTTCTCCAGCGAATCCAATCCTGCTTTTATTATGCTTTACCTCCTCCCTCGGGCATGAATTTCTGCTCGAACTTTCAACAAGTTAACATTCTACCGCGGCCATCACAGCACAACAGGGAGATTCATCACGATCGGTCCCCAAGGGACTCCAGTCACCCGTGAGATCGAGGTCTGGCTGGGAGGCCTGGGGAGTGCGTATGTCATGTTCGGCCCTGAGATTAGCCGGGCTTTCCAAACAGGGACTATACTGCAGGGCGGCTGTTCCTGGCACAAGACCAGGAGTTCTATCCGCTGAACTTCCACCGCAATACCCGACACTTCTCTTATAGTATTTTGCACCTAAGATAGTTACTTTGGAGCTAAATACATATTATCCAGAATCGTCCCCTTATCCTCGACTCGAGATACCCCAAGATCTTCCACAACAATCGAATGCCCGCAGCAGCCCAGCAACTCTTCATGCGTATGGAATGATACATGCGATTACGCTTGATGGGGCGCCCGATGGTAAGCTTGCGCATTGTGATATCTATCCTCTGCTAATGGTGGACAGCGGAATTTCAACTGAATATGAGAGAGACAGTCCAGCGGTTGCAGCCGGTCTTGGATAAGGTCAAGGATACATAGAATATCCCCAAAGACAGCTAGCAACTCTTTGGTGGGTTCTGCAACTGTATCACATCGAACAGCGCTTGGCTCGGAAGCGCCATGGGGCCCATTTGTCAGAAGCAGCATCAAGCGTGGCGTCTTTTCTGTCTCTCGGGTGTCTCTCGGATGTTGCATTTTTACCTGATATCAAGGCGGATTCTATCGCAAGATCATGGTATAATTCGCCCACTGTTACACGAAAGTTTTCTTGAGCACTTGAGAGATCCATCAGGTTTGATTCACGTACGAGCGTATTCACGTACGAAGCGTATTTAAGTGTGGAGCGCATTTGCGTACGGAGCACATTGATATACGGAGCGCATTTATACGAGCGCATTTACGTACGGAGTATATACGCATACCTTGAGCATACGTGATTTGTTGGTTTTGAACGAGCAGGGATGACACGGCGATCACATGATGTCTCGACATATCAGGACATCCCATCCGTCGTTCCTCTCGCCCAAAAATATCTATCAACTTCCGACCTCATGCCTCTAAATTCACGGAGACTACCGCATCTATTCCGAATCTCCCAGTTTCGACCCATTCATCAAAGTATGTCTTTAAATCTAAGACAACGTTCAGTGGTCTCCTCTTTTATCTGCACGTCACCCTCCTCTCCAAACGGACTCACCTTCGCGCTGTTCAAGCGCAGCAATGATGTCAATTCATACCAGTAAGTGCCCATATCACTTCACTGATGTCTTTAATCCTTCCTTCATTTTGAAGGAAACCCCGTGTGGAGTCGGTGGACAATGTTTCACCGGGACATGACGCTGATCACCTGACCAGGGGCAAATGGGCTGTCTGCTCCGGCTCCATCGACGCGGATGATCCCAGTCCCGAAGCAGCAGCAAAACGAGAAATTCAAGAGGAGACAACGCTCTCAGATGTCGACATCACTCTCCTCCGAAAAGGAAAGCCGTTTAGTCTTACAGATGAACGCTTGAACACGAGATGGACCATCCATCCGTTTGCGTGGCAGCTGAAGGACGGCGCTAAAGAGATCAAGTTCGACTGGGAGCATACGGAGTACAAGTTCATCAAGCCTGAAGATATCCATGAGTATGATCATGTACCGCAACTTGAGGTGGGGATGGAGAGGGTGCTTGTTCGCCCAGAGACCGAGGAAGCGCTGGCCGTGTTGAGGAATGATCATGAGAGCGGTGCTCAGGCGTTGGCTGTAAAAGCGTTGGAAATGCTGCTGAAAGCTGTTCGGGGCCGGGAACTTTCGCAGTTGGCGACTTCTGAAGAATTCTGGGCTGAGTTGAGATGGAGAACATGGCATCTTGCAAAGAACGGAAGGCCGAGTATGGGAGCAGCGATCGAGGCCGAACTCTTCAAGACCTTGGACTTTGTTTCAACGCGGGTGTCTTCTTCTGTGTATGAGGGGATCGGCGGTATTCCCTTGTCTGATCTCAAGGGCATCACGGAGACAGCAATTTCCGAGCGAATCTCAGCCACGCAACACAGCTTGGAAAGCCTCGCACAGTACTGTCTTGATTGTATGAGACCAAAGAGCTTCGAGTCAGTCACAAATATCGTGACCCTCTCCTCGTCCGGATCGATAACTCGGACTTTGGCCAGATTCGTGGAAAGCACGACAAAAAATAGAGGATACGTCAAAATCACAGTTCTCGAGTCACGCCCCGGCTTCGAAGGTGTAGCTTTCGTCAACACTCTACTCGACTCACTCCGGGAGGACAAAGACATTCATTCCCACCTTAAGATTGAGATTGTTTCCGATGCCAGCATTGCCACTGTTATTGGAGATGCACAGTACCTGATATTCGGTGGTGACAAAGTCCTACCCAATGGCAACGTGAGCAACAAAATCGGTACCCTCACAGCGGCCATGTTATCAAAGGAGCTGAATCCAGCATGTAAAGTCCTTGCATTGTTCACTACGAATAAGATCACCGGCTCAGGATTTGACTCGGAACATCTGAAGGTTGAGTATAATGATCCGAAAGAATTGACTAGTGCTTGGCCGGAGAGTTACAGGCAGCAGCTGAATGAAAATCAAGAAAACGGATATCAGGTTGAGGTGAAGAATGCATATTTTGAGTGGGTACCCGCGAAGTATATTGATCAGTATATCTCGGACATAGGCGCGCTGGAGAAGGCAGATATTGAACGATTGGCCAGTGAGGGCGAGGAGCTTGAGAAGAGGATATTTGGGGACTTGTGAGTGTCAGTTGCGCATTCACAATCAGGCCCCATTCATACATAGTTCAGGATACGTTACTTTAAAGGGTATTTACACTCGTCGACTAAACCAGGCCAATGAATGCAACCACTTCCAACCAGAAGTTACAAAGGTTCGCTTTAGGGGCTAATCCATGGGCTTCCTCATCTCGTTAGAGTTCTTCTATTATACGCCGTGTTCCATAATCCATCCTCAACAATTTTAGTTGACCCCGCCACCATAAGGCCTCGGTTTCCTACCCTTCGGAAATGGTACCTCTACGACTTGTACTTTCCAACTTTCTTTCATAGTGCGCCTTCTAGCCCATTCACAAGCTTTGCAGTCTCAGCTTGAGTCGTCATGTTGAATTCCTTTACTTTCTCGCCCAATCTTGCAGGTTGTAGCTTGCTTCTCAGCCTCTTCCTGAGAGAGCTTTCCCCGGTCCTTTGGCTTTTCAGTCTTTGTTTTGTCTCTCTCCTCCACCTTGGCCGGGCCTGCCCTCTTCGTTCCCTCTCGTTTTGCGGAATTGATTTTCTCTTCCTTCTTAGTTCCGTCGAGCTCCTTCATCACATCCTTCAACTTCCATTTGGCCGCCTCCAACTTTTCTTCAGCTACAACCAGTCAATGCCTAGTCGCTTCGAGTTCAATATTGAACGCATTCTTAGCTCCCTCTAACGTTTCTTCAGCTGCAACTCGTTGATTCTTGCTTACCTTTAGTTGCCCCTTGAAATCGGCTTTGACAGCATCGAGTTCAGCTTTGGCGGCCCGCAATCCCCCTCTGGTTGCGGTGATTTCAAGCTTACTTGCGCCGAGCTCGTGAATGAAATTCTTGGTTTCCTCCAGTTCTTTATTAATAGCAGCCAATTTGTACTTTGAACGCAGGCTCGCTTCGAGTTCCTCTCTGAACGCAGCTCTAGTTGCCTCCAGTACATCTTTTAGCATCTCTAGTTCATCCTTAGTCGCTTTGAGTTACTTGACTGCATCCTCATTCCTGCCTTGAGCATCCCTCTCAACGTCCTTCTCTGTCTCGACAGTAGCTGTAATGTGTCAATACTCTTCACCTAGAATCGGATTATCTACCTTAACGAGATTTTGTTCTTTAACACCGACATGCTCTGTCCTGGGCGGTGGTGTTTCGGAGCCAATTTCTGCCTCCACACGCGAATTATAGTTGGTGGCCATCCTCAAAGCGTATAACTTGGGGGAAGCTAAGTTGATGGGGGGGGGGTAACTTGTGACCTTTGGTAACTCGATATCTTTGGGACGGAAAGGTATTTGGAAAACTGAAAACCCGAGAAGAGGGAGGAAGTCACGTGAAGGGTATTTAAGCTCGCCGTGTTGGAACTGCTATAATTCATCTGAAGCCCTGTGTTATGATCGAGTGAAGACGAACCTTCCACGTGCCTCAAGTTCACCGAATCACTCAAAATCCAGACGCAAAGCAATGGTTCAAGTTCTTCCTTCAATTGGGAGTGAGAGAAAAGATGGGACCAGAAAATGCAGAATGCACCGCGCAATAACATTCATAGGCTTTTGGGGACGATGTTGCATTGAATAAGTATATTTCTTTGCTAACTTCACGCCTGCTATTCAATGACTTGCCTGTGGGAATCTAGTTATAGGAAGCTCACGGGTTCACTCGACCACTCGTCACTCTCGTGAATCCCCAACTCAGCATTTTGAGCCCTTAGACCAAGCCTCCATACTCTCACGCCGTGGCGCCTAGTACACTCTCCCGCCGTAAGGTCTAGGTGTTCTTCCAACAACAAAGGGAATCTCAACAGCAGGTCCTTCATTACTGTCCTCTTCCTTGTCAATAGCGTTTTCCTTGCCGGTATTCTCCCCGGCTTGAACTTCGCCTTGCCCATCCAAGCTGAGATTTTCCATGGTAGCGGCGACGGATTCCTCTTTCTGGGATGGGGCATCCTTCTCCGTAGAATCTATTGAAGGGGTAGCAAATTTTGTGTTTGCGGGCTCGTTCTCTTTTTTAATATATCTCTCCTTCTCGAGGGAATCCTTTTCATTGATGGCGGCTGGGTCTTCTCTCAAGATTGGTGTCTCGGGAGTGATCTCTGCTTCCCCGCTTGGGTTGATGATGATAGGCATTGTCAAAAGCCTGAAATAGATGTATGAGCGTTTGGTGCTGTACTGTAGTCGATGTGCGATTTAGTAGCCCGATACTGTTTCTTGCTTGGAGAAACTAGGAAATAATAGAAAGCCAGGCTACGGATGAGACGCTTTTGTAGACTCGAATCCGCTGTGAATCACCCAAGGCTCTCTAAACAGGAAGGAAGGACATAAACAAGCAATAAAATCAAACAAAACTCAGCTACAGCTTTTTTGTATTCTCTGAATCAACCTAGATCTACGCGCACAGGAATGATTCAACTTGACTTTAATGTTCGCACTGCCCCCTACCCAGACAATACGGATTTAACAGTCTCCTTTAAATCGCCCTTCGGCAGGCCCAACTCCTTATTCGCAAGCTGCTCCTCCTTAGGAGAAACCCCAATGCCATCTCCAAACAACAGTGGCTTCAAATAATCCCCAAAAGCTGAGTAATCGCCCTTTGCCAACTTCTCATCTGCGAGCTTCTGACTATCCGCTGTATTCTTCTTTACAACCGTCCACTTCTTCCCAGATTCCTCCTCCAGTGCCGCTAGTATAGCATTTTGTGTGGTTACGAAGGAGGCAACCTTGAGGTACTTGTTCGCTGTCTCTTCAGGGTGTTTGAGGACTGAAGCGATTGCTTGGCCAACGAGGGCGAGATTTGATCCCGTGAAGGGCTCGTTGCCGGAATCGTAGATGGTCGCGGTCTCGGTTGGAAGTGAGAAACCCAGTGATCCCACTTTCAGGCCCTAGAAAGATCTCATTAGATAATGCTCAATATATCTCGAAGGGGTATGTACCCAGTCAAAGAACATTCCCGTCGAGATCCCAGTCCACGAGAAATGCTTATTCTCTTCCGCAGCCTTAGCCAACACCCCCTGCAGCGCAATCTTTCCACCTAATATCTTTTTTGCGCCGCCTGTGATGGTTGTAGTATCCATCCCAAACTCGCTCGGTATAAATCTCTTTACGCCTGCCTTGACTGCCGCGTCGACAACCGCCTGCTGCTGTCCCAATGCCGCTGTTGCGATCGTTGATACGACGGCATCTTGTCCCTTGAAGGCTTCTGCAATTGAGTCGGGGGAGGAGTAGTCGGTTTTGTGGACCTTTGCGCCGGGGAGTACTGTCGAGGTGGAGTCGATTCGGGTCAGGGCTGTTACGGTGAAGCCAGCATCGAGGAGGGCTTTCACGACAGCTGGACCGAGATTGCCTGTTGCCTGAAGCTTATTAGCTACTATCTCGTTCTCAATTGGGGTTGGCATACTCCAATGACAGCTACGCTCTTGATTGTGGTCATTGTGTGCTGTTGGCGGAGGAGGTTAGGTGTGTAGAATGTTAGAATTATAGAGAAGAGGGCAATTGATATAGTGATGAAAATTGCTCTTCGACTGCTGCTTTGGGGAACAGGATCTGCCATGCTGGCGCAATCGAAGAGGTTTATAGCATCATTTTTGAGGACTTCGGCCCCACGCCCTTGCAGGAGGATTGCACACTGGATGCGGGGCTCCAATCAAGGCGGCAGATTTTATGGGAGCCGAACGAGAGGGGGTATATTACAAAGCATTGAAGTAAGTCTGGGATGCTTATGAAGCAGTTGCGGGATGAAAAACCTAAATCCCATGGTGTGGGATGCGAGGAAGGGAATCACGGGAGTTCAGGAATCGAAGTTCGGCAAACGCTGAAAGATGTTTCGTGTTGCTTGGCGTTGGAGCGACTTGCTTAGTGACTGGCGGGGTAGATTCAGGGGCTCCGCCCAAGTTTCTCGAGTTTGGAAAACAGCAAGGAATTCTGCTTTCATACTATTTTGCAATCAATACCGAAGAGTCTTCTCTACTTCTGGCCTAAGTACAGGGATCGATTTGTAAATAAGCTTGTATGTCTGAATCTCTATCATACCCCGAAATGTGAACAGGTGCCTCTAACTCCCCGCTATAAAACGCCTGGGTATTCCAAACATGCATATTTCCCCAACCGGGAGCCTGCCACGCCTCCAAAAAAAAAAACAACAACACAAAGATCAACATAGCTCCAGCCCGAGAACGTTGCACCACCTCCAATCCCACCTCGCTGCCTCATCAATCGCATCTGCGTTCAACATCCCAAGCTCCAGCTCTTCAAGTTGATGCCAGATATTGATCCGTCTGCTCACCGGCCACGGTGGAATATCCCAATACCTGCTCACCAATCCCAACTCCGTAGCCTTGCCCACCTGTCCTCGCAGGAAAATCATCTGCTTCTTCGTCAACCCATTCCGAGGAATCTTGCTCTTCCCGCCCAGCACGCCGGTAAGTGAGGTACTCGTGTAATATGAATTCGATAAATTGTAAATATGTGATAGATTGTGCAATGGTGCATCGAAGAACACATCTCGATACGTGCAGTTCGAGTATGAAGAGTTGAGCACCGCTTCGAATGGTGTATTTCCTGTCCCGACGTGTGTGATGGGACCCGGAATGACTGCAGTCCCATTCCAGTACGTGAGCCAACCTTTCTGACGAAATGGTTCAAGCTGTGCTTGCACTGCTGCCAGGGTTGAAAAGCCTTCGGTCTTTAGGTCTGTCATAAGCACGATGCCTCGCGAGGGATGAGTATCCCAGACACCATTGATTCCCGAACTCGAAGTCAAGCTGCTCCCCGCATTTTGATTAGTGAGAATGTCAATCAAAGGATCAAGGTACAGAGATCGTAATGTCAAGTTAGGTCTCAAGGACGAATTCGTATGGCCAACGTATAATTCTCCATCGATGAGATGACAATCAGCTTCCACACCTGTAATTCCCAGGGACAAAGCTTCAAACAGCGGAACTCGGCGCCAATAATCATTGTGCGAATGAATTTCTTTCGGGACGACATCTCGGCTGAAGTTTGGAAGCCAGAAGGTTGAAGTTGAGTTGGCTCCTGGTTGTACCCAATCGGCAACTATTTGGGTGAGGCCGTTGTCTGAAACTCTAGGAGGAGAGAGTCGTCTGACGAGGGCAAGGAGGAGGGAGTGGTAGATTCTGAATTTCTGCCATGAGTACTAGTGGGAGAGAAAGGGTGGGGTGATCCTACATGACAGCGAAGATGCCGAGAAGGAGAGCAGCAGAAAAGAGGCACAGGAGTCTCCGGATGAGTTTAGGCCATGGCGATTGCTCTGATTTATTCCGGAAGTCGAACACTCTTCGAACACTTGAAGCAAACCATTTCCGCCGATTCTTTTGAGAAGGTTTGGGGCGACATTCTTCAATATCGACGACAGTGACCCTCAACTCCTTGACTTCCGGCTCAATTTTATCTTTGCTCTCGTTGCCCATAATTCCGTGTCAGGCCGTTTGCCCAGCAAGGGTGCTCAGCAACAGCACTACGCCAAGGCACCTCCGCTAGAAGCTTGGGAGTCGGTGCTCAACAAGAAAAGGGGAGATGAACTCGAGACAATATAGATTAGGCGAAACCAAAACATCGCGCCAGTCATTGACGGGAGATATCGCCCTCTTTATGTCTGCCATTGAAGTGCAAATTCTCTAGGCTCCAGCTGGATAATCTGGAAGATGTCGCGATTTTCCGAGGCGTTTCGGGAGAGCTAAGGCGAGCCTAGATCCCAGCCCTGACTCGAATCGGGTCTTCCTCCGAGAAACCAATACAGTAGGATACGGTTGGTGGTGGAAGAAGCCATATGGAATCGTTTGTTTGAGTTGAATAGATGATACCTTAGTAGAAGATCGATCTTATGCTTGAAGTCCAGTTGTTTTTTGTTACCCGCAATAAATCAATTTTAAATAAAGTTATGCTCTCCAGAAACCAGTGCGACCGCCTGCAGCGGGGCAATATGGACCTTTAGCGACCCCACCTTCGGGGAGGTCCCTGTTCTGTAGGGGGCTAGAATCTCACGTCAACTTCTGCAGGAGATACGCGAGGACTCTGCTGACTTGCTAAAATATGCTTGGGTAATTCCTTTTCCGTTTCGGGATGCCTCGACTTTCTGGGTTACTATTCACCTCTATGCAGTACATAGTTCTCCAGCTCCCTTTTCCCTACCTTCCAGTCGTCAACCGTCCTCCCACGCCCCATCAATATATATAAATCACTAACAAACCAATATTTACCACGAGTACCTTCTTGGCGCAGGAGAATTGGGGTAGAGAAGCCCAGAGCTAGCACGGTAATATCTCCGGGATTAACTTCAGAGTCTTGCGCAAATGTAAATATGTAAATACTACTAGACTTGCCTCTTTCTTGATTATGCACTGTTAGAAGGATTCGGCTGGTAGAAGGTAGGACTGCCTTCTGTAGAACTAACCAGTGGCGGTCGGATGGGGGTCCTTGTCTTTTGCAGCTCTGGCGGTCACCGACTGCACTACAGGATGGAATATGCGGTTCAGCCCCATCTCTAATTGCGACCCAAGGTCTACCACATGGCTCCACGACTCCTTAGCCTTCTCATAAGTGCTATGTTAAAGCCTAATGTCTAGCCTAACGGGCACCAGCGGTTCTCGTAAGTGTTCTTAGTCCATTCCAGACATTCAAACTTAACTACTTTACTGCTTCGGCGCCTGAGGGAATGTATTTTGAAGGATAGGACTCAACGCAACCGGTTGCTCCATGGTCTCCCACGGCGAGCCTGCAGAGTTTGGAGCAGAATTTATCCTTTTCATGGCCCCCATAATTTTGTATGGTCCGGGGTGGTGAGACTGAATGGCCATGATGCCTCGGCTCCTTCTCCCAGAGAGATCGATCCGATATACAGCTCGTGTTTGGCTGTGCCGAACTGCAATAATGACCGACGGAGTGCTTGCCCAGGGATATCTCACCATATGTCGACCCTTGCGGATACAGTAAGATTTTTGCCCCGAAGAACCTCTCAGGTAAACAATGACATCGATGGTCTGCCCAGGGTAATAAATCGCTGTATTCCATTCATGGCTCGGATATAGATCCGAATCGAGATTTTGGCATGCGAAAGAAGGTTGTAGATGTAAGTGGAATGCTTGTGATGCGGTGAAAATGGGTTGAAAACAAAAATGAAATGAAGAAATGATACGAACCATAGCCACATTTTGTAGCCCTGATTGAAATAAATGGTAGGAGGTCAGACAGGGCTGACCATTCAGAGTCTTAGCCATCTGTACCAAGCCACTAGTGCCACACCAAAGCTAAACTTTGCCAAATGGTCAGATATCCAATGAGAAAGAGTGGAAGTTCTTGGATCCTTGGGCGACAGCTACTGAAACCGAAAGCATGTCTAGAAATCAAAGAAACCAGAGAACGGGAAACAGGAACGGCTCGGCACGAACTCAAGAGTCAGGACACGGTGGTGGCCCAGCTCGACGTGGCGGATTTCCCGAGGGACTAATACGTTATGTTCCTTGGTTGTACGGGTTCAAAATGAGCCCGAGGGATGTAAAACAGGGTTGGACAACCGGCTTCTTTAGAGTTCTAAGTCTTCCCCGACGTATGGGTTCGTGTTGGATAGTTCTCGCGGTAGGCTTGCTCCAACGGGACGTACATCGACGTCAATTGTATATCCATGTCCATCGAGTCCATCAATCTCCTATGCTAGTATTCACGTGAGAGTGTCCCAGCGTTCTTCCTCCCCAGTATGGTTTTAGCGATCGTCGGCGCGTCGGCGGTCTCGAATTCGTGTGTGCTATTTTCCCCATATTCCTACTTAGCTGGCTATGGTTAAATGAGAAGATCACTTGTAGGCCGGTAGTCTGTTGTCGAGAGGGAAGAGGATGGAGAAAATCGTCATACGACTCCTGCAATATATATTAGCAATCTGGTCGTCCATAAATAGTTGCAACTTGCAACGGCCCGTTTTAGAGACTTACTAGTAGCGCTAATTGCATAGTAATTGGCCCATTCACAGGTCTGCAGCGTTGAGATCCTGGGCCATGAATAAGGAGGCATATGATTGATGGAGGAGTTTTAAGTCACCATGGGTCTGGTGGGTTAGGCTGGTGGATGACTCAGCAAGTGAGTCTCTTTTATTGCGACGTCCTGCTTCTATCTCATCCTTCACAATCTTAATTTGAGAGAAAAGGTAGGTCGAACGCGAGGAAACTGAAAGCTTGAGTTCTCACGCGCGAGCCAGCCAGTGAATATTCAAACTGACACCTTGAGCTTGACACCGACTCCTTCGGTTACCGAGATTCCGTTTTCAACCCCGTTCCTCTTCTCATTTTGGTCTTCAAACTCCTGCATCTTACTCCAGAGCAGGCATGGCTTCTTCACAGATCATTGTCCTGATAACAGGTGAGATCCGAGTTGATTTGAGTAAGGTATAAACTGACGAAGAGACATCTAGGCGCCAATCAAGGCATTGGATTTGAAACGGCCAAAAGCCTCCTGTTTTCCTTCCCCAATTACCACATTCTCCTCGGCAGTCGTGATCTTAGCAAGGGATTGGAAGCAGCATCAAATCTCCAGCAACTTCCTATCAAGGGCACGGTGACCGCAATTCAAATCGATGTCACCGACGATGCTTCGGTAGATGCTGCCGCGAGACACGTCAATGATACCCTCGGACGCCTCGACGTGCTTGTCAACAATGCTGGGATCGGGGCACGACACAATGAGACAGCGCGAGATGCCATGAGAGAAGTTCTAGCTGTCAATGTTGTCGGTGTAGTCAGTGTCACAGAAGCCTTCTTACCGTTGCTTGGGAAGTCCTCAGCCCCTCGTTTGATCTTTGTCTCTTCTACTACCGGCTCGATCGCCATTGCAGCAGACCCAAATGGGCCTTTACACGGCGGCGGTGCCATGGACTATAGATCTTCAAAGGCGGCGCTGAACATGTTGATGATTTTATACTGGAATCGCTTGGGGCGGGAGGGATTCAAAGTATTTGGTGCAAACCCAGGCTTGATTGCAACGAACTTCCATGGAGGCGGAAGACCTGGATCCGAGCCGGAAGTTGGAGGCGAAAGAATTGCTGCTGTCATCAGAGGAGATAGGGATGCGGATGTTGGGAAGGTCTGTAATGCAAACGGTGTTCTCCCCTGGTGATGGGGAAAAGCCATAAAATGATCGATAATAGTTCCATACGGCTACTTGCTTCGCTCGTCCTAGTCTCGAAGTCTTTATGTTAAAGCTGAGGGGCTTTCAACGATGAATCTTGTTTCTCACTCGTTCCTTGATGACCCGAAGCCGAATCTCTGGATGACGATCCATTCCCATTTCTGAACGTATGAAGCCGCCGTCATGTTGACGTTGACTGCAAATCTTTCCCCCCATTTTGAGTAGATACCAATGCGGGGAGGAGTAAGTCTAAGTTTGGAGCAAATTTCCCGGTGTCCGGGTATTTGCCTCTACCGTTATGTGACACCTCAGCCCTCTCTCTTCTCTTCTCTGCAGCAGCCTATCTTGATCAAACTTTGGTGTGAAGTTGTTAGGAAAGTATAATAAAGTGAGGAACCAACTCAACTATTCCGAATCATAGAAGAGACAAACTTTAGCAGAGGAACACACTCTCTGTGAGAATCTACCAAGGTTTGGTATCTCTGTATTAGTAATTGAACTCTAACCCTTTAATCTTCATTTCATATTCGATTGATAGGCATGGCCGCCCCTACTCAGACGCGAATCACCCTCGGCTCGCCCTCAGCTCAACCAGCTCACCTAAGCTGTCTAAGCAACCTGAGCAGCCCCTGAGTAGCCCCCGAATAGTCCACACGAAACTAATAAGGCCAGATGCTCGCTTAGGGCGCATTATGTCTTTTTTTATTAAGTCTTGGCGTTTATTCCTTGGAGCCTCTTTAGGCTCCTAAGGATCCTGAACAGGACCGCCTCGGACTCTGCAAGACCGTAGACACCCTGGAAACTGGCACATAGATAATATATCCCTATCCCAACTATGAAAAGTAACATCCTAGGATGTTGAACCGATTTTCTAGTTGCCTATCCTGTAATTCAAAAAATAAACCATAAGGAAATCATACCTAAAACCTGTCATCGTACTTTCGAAATTGAAGCTTTCATACATTATTGATCATCCGCATCCGCCATAAAGGTATCTTCCGCCGGCGCCTCTATCGCCTTCTGGCCAACCAACATCTCCAACCGCTCCGATTGCTCCGACTCTCCAGAAAAAGCCTTCAACCTCTTGTTTCCAATCCTATAATCCTCCTCTACAGCCAAAATGCTCTCAGTCTTCCTATCAAATATAGCTGGGAGGCTGAAATCAGCCTTGTCTTCCACAGAATACGTTTCTTGCGCTGCCATATTAAGCACCAATCGCAAGTTCTCGTTGTCGCCCGTATTTACTAGCGTTGAATAACTCTTTTCTAGGGTGGATGACTTGGGGAGGCGCATGAGGTTGGAATTAGTTACTACGCCCCCTGGACCGACGTTATGGAGGATAATGGCGCTCGAGTCATCACAGTTTTGATTGAGGGCTGAGAAGCTAAGTCCTGCTGCTGAGGCACTGAATACGGGTGTACCGGCGGATTGTATAGCGCTAGACGTGGAACTCTCTGAACTGATGTTCTGTCCAATCGTAATAATTTGCATGCTCTCGTGGTTTGAATTAACTATTGGAGCTATCACCGTTGTGGGTGTGGTTAAAGACGACGCCTGGGGAGCTTCGAGGGGTTTCGCCCGTGGTGGTAGGTGCTTGGTCAAGTCGATGAAAACCATTTGGTTGGAAGAAGGATCGGTTCCTTGAAGGTAGTTGCCACAGACAGACCAGCAGATGTTATCCAGCAGAGTATCGTGAACTGTAACGAGCTCTTTGTCTAGGTTTCATATAGTTATTACAGAATCACCATTAACAACATGAGTGAGTTTCACTTACCTTTCTCCATGAAGTGCCAAAGCGAAATCGTAGCAAGCCTGCAAACCGCAATAATCGGCAAAAACGGATGAAACCATAGAAATCTCTCGACCGTTTTATCCTTTGTACTCGACCGTCTGAACTGAATGCCCACGCTTGCTACAAGACGAAAAGATGGTACCCAATTATTGAATTGCGTATCACTGTACGCGCTTACTATCCAGCGCCTAGTATGAGCCGTCGATGGTGGCCCACTACCATTGATTTGTATCAAATACTTCTCATTCGGGGATATGAAGTATTGAGCCCAGGAATGGCATTTGTGGTCGGCGGGGACGATTTTGAACCCCCTTGTAAAAGAGAATCGCTTTCGTCCTGTATGTAACGGGCGTGCCATGGTAAAAGCATCCATGTCGAGGGTGTGTTCACACCCAGGGGGTGGCAGGACCTGAAAATGGCCTCGGTCGTCTATTTTCTCCAGCACTGAAGCCGGAGCGATCTTGAGCAAAATCCCGTGAACGACCAGAAGAGATAAGGATGAGGAAAAAGCAACCGGGAAGCGGAAATGAGTGCGTGTTTGTTTGGTATATTCCAGTGATTTGTCGTCTTGATTCTGAAGGTTTAGATCCAGCAGCTGCTCTTGCGGAATCTCAAACCTGATGCATTCGGTTTGAGACATCGTCTTTAACGACCATATTTGGTATGCTACTTTCCAGTATTCAGAGCCAGCCGATGCCTCACCTTTCATGCATTTTGACCTATTCCCCGAGTTAGTACAAGTATCATTCTGATGACTATTAGCCAACTCACGCTGACGTCCATATCTTAAACATGCCCACACTTCCACCATCGGCCGACACTTGGGAAGTTATCAGTATAGAACCTTCATCTTGCTTAGGGTTTAAGAAAGTCATCTTCGCAGTGCCACTGTTTGCCCAAAGATCGAATCTTCCAACCGCGTTGATGCTAGGCATCCAAATCTCGTTTGGCTCCTTCCGCAAAATATGACACCAGTCCGCATTCAGTCGACTCAGCTCTGGTGATAGGCGATTCAATCTGCTGACTACAGACTCGACTTGTAGCTTCCAGATTTCGGGATACTTTCTTTGAAATGCGCCTACGTAGCTTCCCACCATATTTAGAGAGGGCACGTTATGGAATGTATAGGAGGTTTCTATCCAGCAACTCAAGAGTTCCTTGTTCCATACCGCCTCGGCCAAGGCTTTGAAGAATATCCCATAAGATTCAGCGGAGTATCTAGATGACCCTAGGTCATTCAATGGTAGGCTTTGGCATGCGTGAGTAGGCCACCACTTTGTTGCGTAGGAAAGCAGAGGATATGTTGCTTTTAGATCAGTGGCCTCAGCCTTCTCTGCAGCAGCAATTGGCTTATGGGGAATATTGTAGATTATGTACGAGAGACAAAGGGTCGCTATAGAGCAATGTGCAAGTTCTTTTTGGATATGGAAGGTCCGCGAGAGCTCGGGGTTGTGTAATTCCGGGTTAGGGTCAACCAAAAATTCCTGGACAGACAGATGAATGAATCTCAAGGTTCCATCGGAATAGACCTCAACAAATGAGCCGCAAGTCTCTAGTAAACATTCTTGAAAGTCGGAAATGTAGTCATCAGATGTTATGGCTCGATCGATTTGAACCGCAAGTGCTGTATGGAGCGTTTCAAGCTTTCAAGGTGTTTGTGCAACAACAAGCCACTGAAACATCCTCTTAGTTATCGACCACAGCGATTTAGGAAGCCGTCTTTTCAAATCTTCAAGGATTTGCTTGTACATGGCGTCCAGCCCTTCGAGTATATGGATGTCGTTAATGGCTTGTAGTCGATTGTTCGGCGTTAGCAATGGGGAAGAAAGATAGCCGATCATCAACACCACCCACAAGAACATGGAATCTGCCCGGCTGACAATCTTTTCGACCGTTTCTGTGACTGTGAGAGAATCCGGAAACTTTCCTCGTTTGTATAGAGCCTGAATCTTTGGCTCGAGATATCGCTTCATGTCGCCGAGATTTTCCTCCGTTTCGAGTCGGAACTGAGAAGTGTTGCTTCCTACGCTCTTCACAACGCATAAATGAGGCCTCCCTAAACACACAACACTGCATTTGGATCCTCGAGTAACATTATCGAGGGTTTCCAGAAGTTCTTCCCAGTCTCTGCACCCATCGAGCGCGTCGAATATGAGAAAGGATGCACCAAGCCGCCCAAGGAAAATGCGGATTATAGATTGAATTTCCCTCTCAGTCGCAGTGCTCTGACCACTGCCCATATCGTCCATGAGGAGAACTGCTAAATCAATGAAGTCTGTGTCATCTTTGTTATCGTGCAACAGTTGGGTGGCAATTGCTCGTAGAGCACTCTCGTTTGACGTCGAATCATGATGCTGAGCGTTGAAGTAAAAAAAGGCGATAGCCCCTTTATCTGTGGGTTCATCTCTTCCAATACATCTCCGAATATCTGAAATAATACGCGTAGAGAGCACAGTTTTACCGTACCCGGGCTTTCCTTCAAAATGGTCAGCAATCTTGAAGTTAGTCAAAAATTGAGATGCTGAGTACCTGAGATGAAAAGGAGACGTTCCGAAAATTCAACGTCGTTGAGCTCACGTTTAAACTGATTCTCTATCCATGATTTGTATTTGTGATGCCGTATGAACCAATTCCCAGTATTCTCGGTCCGGTGTTTCTCGGCAGCATTAAACGATGTCGTCCAGTCCGAAGCTGCCATCCAAGCCCGTAGGCCTCGAACCTTCTCAGCTACACAATGTCAAAATGGACCAAAGATTCTATAAAGTAATATGAAAACGCACCCATTGACTCTTTCATGTTCCTTTCGGCCCTTTCTGCCTCATCTGCAGCCTTTCTAGCAAAATAGTCTTCGAGCCTGGCTCGCTGTCCTTCGTCTTGCTGAACTCTAGCAACCTCGAATTCATCAAGCCTCTGCTGGGTTTTGTCATGGTAGTATCTGCTTTCCTGCTTTTCCCTATCCATACCATTCTCCTTGGCCCCTGGCCATGGTGTATAGTGCAAATTCGAGCAAGCCTATGCCCTTCCTCCTGCCGTACTCGATTTGTGAAAAAGTCCAAGTCACAATCTTTTTCATCCAGGAACTAATCATATCTGGCCCGTACATTGGGCACACTCTCAAGATATTACAACCCGAAGGAATCATTAGAGAAGGCATCTCGAGAAGTCATGGCCCATCTCGTCCATATCAACGCCATCATTGCCTTCCTTGATCTCACCATCCTCGACCTCGAATACTCGGGCTTGTACGACATCCAGACCGCATACAAAGCTTTGGTATACAGGGTGAAATTCAAACTCGAATTCAGCATTCTCAGCCGCCGCGTCGACTTCACCAAGAACAGCAGCATTGCATCTCAGAGCAGTGAGCGTGGTCTGTTCAAATGGACACATTTGATAATGGAAGGCAAAGGAGGCAGACGAAGGAGACGGGCAGGGAGCTGGATACAAGGCATACATCCATTCGGCCGGAACTCAAGATCCTAATGGAGGGGATGAAATCAAGCAAACCAAATGCGTGGTCATGACGACACAAGTGTCGGTTCACAGAGATATGGACCGAAACGAACAGGACAGTGAGGAGTAGCTTGAGAATATTGACAGTAAATCGGGAGTGACTTCTGGAGTAAATGAGATCGGCAATGATATCATATCGCCATCGTCTTCGCAGATCCGTTTTGTGAATGGTGGATTTAGATTCGTGGTGGGCAAGCTGGCTTTGGTGGGATCTGAATTGTGGGACTGCCGTAGATTCTGATAAAAAGCTTTTTAAATTGGGAAATTCGTTAGAAATAGAGATACCACTTCAGCACCGACTCCCACGTTCTCGTTTTCCAGGCGGAAGTAGTCGCTGTTTACTCTCTGCCTTGAACGTGGGGCACTTCTGGCGTGCTTCCTTTGACTCGATTCGTGACTTGGGATCCCAACGAAGCATTTCTTTGATTAGGGCAAAGGCCCACTTCACTTCGTCACTACCAAGTGCTGATGTGACGCCGATTGTTGAGAGCAACTCTTCATCATAAAACTTCCATGATATTCTTTGGAACCTAGCTCGGGAACCACGCAGCAATTCGTACGCAGTCAAACCCATGCTCCAAACATCAGCGGATATGTTATAAGTAGTATCCAGAGGAGCGGTATTCTCCTTGAGGGCAATAATCTCGGGCGCCAAGTAACGAATCGTGCCTTTCATGTGGTCTTTGGAAGAAGTTTCCCACGTGGCACAACCAAAATCGATGATTACCGCACGAATAGGGGAAGGCGAAGCGAGAATGTTGTCGGGTTTTATATCTCGATGCATACAACCTTCTGCATGAAGAAATGCAAGTCCGTCGAGCATTTGTTCGAAAAGCAAGAGGCGAGAGGTCATTGGAAGCGATTGAGATGGAAGCAATTGACCAAGCGTTCCACTGATAAGTGGCTGAGATATGATGAAGCATTCAGTGGCACCAGAGGAGGTGCTGGGTTCGATTATGACGGAATCGATCAGCGAGCTTACAGTGATCTGATGGATTTGTCAACAATGAGTACACTTTAGGCCCGGAGACAATAGGAAGGGGATAAATGGAATTCATACAGGCGGGCGTTCCGATAATAGCCTTTTCATTGCATCGATCTCGCGACGGGCATGACGCAGACTACTAGAAGATACTGCAATAATCTTCTTCACCGCAACACTGGCGCCTGTATCCTTGTCCACTGCGGCACACATCCAACAGGTCGATCCTTGTGTGAATGAGCTTCTAATGAAGTATTTGTTCATAATCATGTAATCAGTTTCCGCGGGGGTTGGATCCACAAATATTCCCGGCCGGTCCCCCTGGTAGTTGAGGAACTGCGAGAGCTGATCAAGTTGAGCTCGGTATAATGACTGGTCGATGTTCGTGAAGGAGAGCTCGTACTCCAGATCACCAAATGCAACGACTGTCCTTCTCTGACCAAACGCAGCAACGTTGGTTGGACTTAGATGCCTCTCGCCAACTCGCAACTTCTTATCCGCGATTAATAAAAGAATATGGGATTCTAATGAATGTAACAAGCGCGCATGCCGCCCCCTGAGAAGTGGCTCCTTGATATTGGCTGTGAGGAGGATATCTACACCACCGCCCGTGACAGAGCTTGAATAATTATCACGAGTGTTCCAGCGTCCCTTCCCTAGCACCCATCCAAGCTGCCGGTTCCCCGGGTGGAGATCCATATTCAGTCTCCAAAATCCACTGTGGACCGAACCCGGGTCCTGAGGTCTTGTGGATCGAGCAAGCTCATCACTAGTTGACTGTTCGTCTATTTCTGGTTCTAGATCTTCCAACCTTCGGCGAACGTAGACAAACTTCCGATGCCAGAGGTATTTTTCAGGAGACTCCTCCATTGCAAGATGCAGGTAGTGAAAGGCGATTCGGGCGGATCTTGAGATGGGAATAAGCCTTGCAAAGTCGCCACTTGGGATATCTTCATCTTCAGCATTTATCTGAGTTGGTTCGGGGGTATTTGGTTCTGTGGTTGACTCGCTGGTGATGGAAGGATGGAAAGACATGGTGGGAGGAAGCGGAACGCACGCCGGAGGTAACCAAGCTGGGCTGGACAGTGTGGGGACGTGTCTGGAGGTGTCGGACCCAAATTTGTAAGGCTTCCGACATTTGATTATGGTGAATATGAATGAGCTTCGTTACAGGTTTGCTGCGCTCGCAGGGGAACTCTGTTCGTTATGAGTCAATGCTGTTCTGTTTCGAGAGATTGGGCTGGTGTGGGTGGTGGGCTTGAGAGCTGATTAGTCATCTAGCGCTCAGGGTTCCGGGGCAAAACCAACCTCATCTCATCCATTCTCGACATCTCCGTCCGAAAATACACAACGTTTTCAACATCAGAGCTCAGTGCTTACGATGGCGCGTAGGCATCTCGCATCTCCATCATCGGATGGGATAGATGCGGATCATTGGCCTCACCTCGAACAGCGACAGCGCGAATCTTCAGTTGGCAACTTCAATCTCCAGTACGAGTCACCCGTCATCGTGCAGATGAATGCAGACTATCTACGATGTAAACTCGCCCAAATCGACACTCTTCCTCGAAAATGGATGACTCAGGACGAGCTCTACTATATGGCAAAGGCGCCAGACCTTTGGCCATGGCAGCGCACCGATGTCTTGACTCCAACACCACCCGACACACCCGACAGCATGCGGGAAGCGTCGAGTTCGGATACATTTGCTGAGGGAAGCAGCTGGATCCGTAACTGCAAAGAACCGCGGACTTCTTTACAGCAGAAGACGCTTCCCTCCAAACCTATTCCACCGAGACACGATTTGCGCAACAGACGGCCGAGCAAGAAGCGAACAAATGATGGGATACGGAAGAAGCGGACCAGCAAACGGAAGCACACGATGGTCACAAGGTCGAGATGTCGAGGTCGATGCTGTCGAGAGCAAGTCGCTGGCTAAGAGCCAATAACATACATTCAGAAACATCAATAATGTGCAGTGTACCGGCGAGTCGAGGTATCTTGGTGACGTATTGAATGGAACCCATTAGCTAGATGGGTCACATGCCAAATCCAAAGACCTGGACTATGAGGTTCTTGTCCCTTATCCACCTTGTGGTGGTGGAGCTGCTCGAAAGTCAACTGGCCGAGCATAATTTATCGAAATTGATCTGCTATTGGGGTAAGCTCTGCACTAAAAGCCTCTACAGAATGCCTGCTAATAATTATAGAGTGCGAACGACCTGGTCCGAGTTTTTGCCGGGGGGGCACAGTTGCAACAATATGTGGTTGAGATGAGATGTTCTGGTCATGGAAGGTGAGATACAGGATTCATGATAGATTGGCTCTACCCCGGGTATTCATGTGGAAGGGGAAGAGGATCCCGGCCAAAGCAATACGAGTGCTTGAAGAAGTGCATCTCGGTACTTGTCTGCCTAATCAGCCACGGTTTCTTGCGCCAAAAATTCCGAGACGCTCTCTACGCTTTTGCATCGTATTGGCATCTTGAATCCTGTCATCTATCATTTTATTATTCTTCGTGTTTGTTGCATACTGCCTTCCTGACTTCGTGTACTGCCCTCTCCATATCCTTTGAATTCGGCATTGTAGAACTTCTCCCGCTCCATAAGCATGCGTTGTTCTGGATCAAGCAAAGCCACAAGAGCGGAAGCACCAAATGGAGAGTGAGCAGACAAACAAGACATCGATGTAAAGCTGCTGGATGTCTACATACATGCCTTTCGAAGGTTTCAGGGCTACTAGGAATGCTCCCACGAAAAGTTCTGAGTGCTCGATGTGTATTCAGAGGAGAGCTGCGGGATATGAAGCGGCGTGCTTCATCTTTTCTTCGACGAGGGCGATCAGGATTTTGTAACTAGCTAGTAATTGCATGAGGGACGAGGCGTTGGAATTGCTAGGATAATTGCAGATTCGCTTGCAAAGGCTTCCCTCCATCAACGCCGACCTTTTTCTCCTACTTCCTCCACTCTCCTCCCCACCCAACCTCCAAATCCTCCAACCTGCTCTCCCGCTCTCGCAACCACCGACAACGCCCTTATGATTCTGTAAGTTGCTCCCATCATCACTCCACTTTACGGTTGAATCTCCTCGATCTGCCTGTCGCAAGCTCCTTCCGCCTCCCGACTGCGCTCCTCGACCAAAGTTGATGCACTTCTGACCACCTCAACAGTGAATAATTTCGCATCCAATCTCCTCCGCGATAACGGCGCAGCGCCCTCCTCCGATAACATCTAACCTGCTCCATAACACGAGCGCACTCAATCTCCGTGACAGCAGTAATTATCAGGATTTTTGTAACTATTCGGTAGAGGGAAGGGGCGTTGGAATTGCTAGTATAATTGAAGCGGCCGAAGACCGCCTCCCCCGCGGCAAGGACAATACTACGTGGTTAAAGAAGCTCGCGCAAGTAATGTTCCATTACGAAGGCAAGATGGACATTCAAACTACCAAGGGCCTCCTTCCAAACATCTTTCAGGAGGACCACGAAACCCCAGGAACGGCCGAACTTGCCAAACAGATCATCAAGGTACCTGACGAAATCAAGAATAAGGTCATCCCCAACATCGGCATCGCGATCCTCATATAAGTCCCTTTCAAGGCTTCAAATCACCTTTTTCTCGAATGCATTCTCATCTTCTGTAAATACATGTTAGACCGGCCAGATTTGCATGATCCAGACCTCAAATTCGGCAACTTCACCGACAGATTGGCCTCCTACCAAGGGATCCTCTACCAAGGGCCATTATTAATGATTATTTAGTATTACGAGGCGTTCCCTATACTGGATATGAAGTTCATATTCTCGGTCACCCTATAATATCCGGTACGGGATCTACTATATCTGGATATTAACGTTATTAAGACGAAGATACAGAAAACCATATCTTTTGGGGATACTCGATTTTATCTTAGAAGGGTTTCTTAATATAGATCCGGCAGATAATAAGTCATAGTTTAATACCTATCCAGAATAGATACATTCCGTACCTCTTATTATCCTTACATACACCAACAATACCTACAGGTTAATATCCAATTTGCAGTCGTCAATAGTAGTATCTATTAAAGAAATTACGTTATTTATATTAATAATTGACCAGTCCGTTTAACTATTAACAAAATCTGGTACAGAAAGCTATAGGATAAAGACATTTATATACTACTCCCTCCTTGCGAACTACCAGGCCATAATAATAATTTCTAGCCTATAGGGGAATACCGCCAATATAACCCAAGCTAATAAATATTAAGGCCAATAACCTCTAGCTAATAGTGAATAGTACAGACTTCCCGACTCTAATAAGGAAGAGGAAGAGGAAGAGCAAGAGCAAGAGCAAGAGCAGCCTCATTAGCCTTTAGCCAAAGCTCTTGGCAAGTAATTAGTTTATCCTTCTTATATAAAGAAAGAAAATAAAGAGGAAAAGGAAAATACTAGCCAAGATACTAATCTTATATAAGCCCTTTATTAATATAGCTCCTCTTACTAGTATATTTTAATATTTATCTTATAAGCAAATTGTAACAACTAGTGTCATACAAGTACTACGGGTTGGCTTCAGCTAATGTTTCAGCTAAGATATCAAGCTAAGGTTCAAACCAAGCTCGATATTTCAGTGGTCTTGGCTATACCTACTTATCCACTGCCACACCTCACTTCTCCTCTCCCTAGCTTTAGACTTTGTAAGACAGTGGAATCTTAGATCTTTAAGCCTTGTTCCATTGCTTTGTTTCTGCTATTACATAATCTAAAGCTCTTACCCTACGGACAGTAATATTATTGTTTATTAGAGCTATTACTTACTTATTGGAACTCCTGTCTACCTAGCCTGCTCGCATGAAGTGTGTCCTTATTATTATTGTCATTGTTTACGTAGCACTGTCTATAGTTTTTTTTACCTGCAAGACATCAAAAAGCTCGATTTTGGCTAGCTCACTACCTCATTATTTATTGGAACCCTTACCCTCATAGGATTTTTACTTTTGTTTATACCAACTCTACTAACATTCCCTTAAGAATGGACACCTTCCAAACCCAGGTCCAACACGAATTCGATAGCTTACGGGCCAAAATTGCTGCCTTGAAAGCTACACTTGCTTGTACCAAAGCCCAGTTAATGGCATCTACGGCAAAACCTAGTTAAAAAAACAAAGCTCCCAGACCCCGAGACGTTCACTGGATTAATATACAGATTTAATATCTGGCTCCTTTCAATCAAGGCCAAGCTCTCTGTCGATGGATTAGCAATTGGAGACTCCACTGCCCAGTTTTACTACATTCACCTCAATCTGGAATCCCTTGTCCAATTAATGGTTTTGCTATAGCTTCCTATATAAAGCACACTTAATCGTGAGATTACTATACAGTTCTAGATTAACTTGCACGGGTTTACGATAATTCAAACAAGTAAACCGAAGCCAAAGACAAGCTATATTTGCCTTGCCAAGGCAATGATTTTCTCCCTGCTTATATTGCCAAGTTTGAATATACCTTATATAAAGCAAATGGGTAAAGCTGGCAAGATGTCAATAAAATATCCAGTTTTCGCAATGGCCTTAACACTGCGATTTGCTCTTGTCTGGCCCAATAGCTTGTTTTACCCCGGGTTTATACTAATTTCCTGCGAACTATCCAATAGCTTTTGTCAAAAACAGCTGCCCTGCCATATGTCACTGCTTCCAAAATTGCTAGCGATCCCATGGACATCAGTGAACTGACAATCGGTACTCTTATGTTATTTGATCTACCCTTACTGGCTATGCTAGTTTGTTTAATCTCAAAGGAGCTTTGCTAACTATACTATCAAACTGGCAGATGTGTCAGATGCGGGTCCCAGGATTACTTTATAAGGAACTGCTCCCTAGCTCCTGCAAGCTCTTCTTCTGGCAAACGGGTTATAATTGCTATAGTCAACAACAATAATTCTGGTACGGAAAGCAATTCTGATAAGTCTGGTGAAGTATGCCCGGATATAGACTAGAGAAGGGGCATTACTACTAGTATTTAGAAATAAGGTCCTTTTCCTTTGTTTTGTTGTTTTTAATATACTTGCTTTAGCTTTCCCTTTGTTTACTAGTGCTCGGGGTCAAGCTTTTTGGAGAGGGGTAATGTGACATCTGGTATGGAGTAATTAGAGGTAGTCTAAGATTTAATGCATTCTCGCATTGCTAGTAATCGTTTCGGTTGCAGCATTTAATTTAAGTCCTAAAATCCAATGAATAATCCAGATTGTGACTTCTAATTCCACTTTCCCCTCCTCTTTATTGGAGATTTATCCTTAATTAAAGCGCAGAATACTTCTGCGAGCATGCATGCAGATGTTTCCCTCCTTTTGCGGCATTTAACTCAGGCAACGGCTGCGAAGTAAACAACAGCCGTGCACGCGTCCCACGCTCGTGCATTACTGTGGATTATATTTATTAGAGCAAATCAAAGCAATTGAAGTTATTTTTAGACAAAAACGATCAAGAAATGCTATCAATGCAAATACTATCTCTATTGTTCCCCTTTGGCGATTGCTAAGCCTTTCCCAAAACGGCATAGAAAACTCGGAGTCAACAACGTTCTAATTTCGTCTCCTTACTCTCCTTCCTCCCTCACCGTCAATGGGACCCTTCAATTGTCCCATATTGAAGGCTTCCTTGTGTCTGTGGCTTTGGAATTAAATCGCTATCGCGGGAGTTGTATGGTGTCACCAGGTCTTGCCACTTGGTATCTCTCAAAACTACGTTCTTCCATTTCGTGTGGTTTATTGAACCTATAGCCTCGTCTCGGAAAGGCCATTTCTTTCTTAAAGTCTAGCTCAGCAGATAGCAACCCCCTTCTTTGGTACAGGTCTCAGTTGACTTTGCATCCTTTCTTCGCTACTTAATGGCGCAATACTCCTTCTCGGTCTTTAATCGCGGTAAGAAGCAAAAGCCCCACGGCGATTTTGATGCATTCGCTCTAAACTATGCGCTACTATACGCAATGGACAAGGTGAAGCATCAGTACTCCACTGCAAGTAGCGAAGTCGTTCGCGTTTTGGATATTATGCAATCATATAGTAGCAAGGTTAACGAGGAGTCGACTAGGCCTTGTCAAATAATAGACTCAGATCATTCGAATTTAGCCAAGGCATAGGCAGGCTTGATATTCCTGGATATTTGGACAACATGTTTTCAATCTAACCTTTTCAACGCAGATTCATCACCCCTCGGCTCTTACACTGAGCATTGTGTGCTCGAGGAAAGTATTCATTGGATAATCGTGGTTTCGGTCCTGCTTAGATGTCTGCACAAGGCGATGCGGAATGGAGTTGCCGATTTGGTACCGCTTTTGGCGCTTTTACTTGTTCCGAAGAATGCTTTGAGATGGGAGGAAGATGTTTATTCGGACGGAAGTTGGCGCAAGGGGGGAGATGAGAAGGTTACGTATTTGCTTTATATTGAAGAGTGGAACAGGGGAAATGTTGGCTCTATTAGGGAATATGAATATTTGTTATCAAGCGCATGGGGGCATAACACGCAACGCGGTGTACAGCTTTGAAGGTAAAGAGCATCAGAAGGTTGCTATTATCTATTCCAAGTCCACTACTTCTTATTTTTATAGCGAGAAGATTCAGTCAAGAGATGCGTGCTGTAGAGATGAAGCTTCGATATAAGCATCGGTCCCATCGCCGGTGTTCTGCTTCTTCCTCGAAAACGCTTGAGTTGTGACTTTATCTAACGTTCTTTTCACACCTCGAATGCTCATATGAAATTTCCCGGGCAATTCAGAAACTGCTCCGGAGGGTTCGTTGACGCCTAACTCAACTCCGCTTGCATTCTCCAACGTCGGTTGCTTATTGTGAATGTCATCTTCCTCCCGTGAACGTTCCGAGGGCGTTCTATCTGGTTGCGAGTCTTCCAAGGGCTCTTCAACGGGTGAGGGCTTAAGACTTGATGAGCCATCAAGTCCAGAAGTGGAAGAGTTGCTCCCCCCCAGCCCGCTGTCGAGAAACTCGCTCCCTTCCTCCTCTTCTGAGTCTGACTCTGCCTCTTCAACAGGCTCTCCTTTGCTCGGCCAGCGTAATCGGTATTTCCTATTTTTTCCAAAGATGACTGCTCCGAACCGGTAGTCGAATACTCTGGATTGATCCCTGGAGCTCGGAGAAGACGAAAAAGCTTGTACTCTGTCACAACCCGTCTTCCAACTGCCACGCTTACATTCACACGACTCGTAGAGTTTGTCCGGTATATGGCAATATATTCCACTTGCAAGTTGCAAAACATCATCATCGCAATCCCCGTACTGTCTGCGGATGTCCTCTAACGTAGACACGCATGCAACAAGATGATCTCTTCCCACGGGGACATGTTTCCAGTGCTTGCAGAGCTGGTTTGATTCTTGCGCCGGCCGAATGAGTTCCCCAAATCCCTTTCCGAGGAGGGTGATAGTATGTGTACTTCTGATGAAGTCCACCCATCCCCAACCACTCTTGCTCAATTTTGCAACTCGAGGGCGTAATATATTTTGGCCATTGACAATATCCATAAAACCAAAGCCGAGCAACTTCTCGCGAGCCATGAAGCCTAGGCCTATAGACGGCGAAATTATCATCTGTGTCTGTCGGTCTTCGATCTGCTCCAGAATGTGATATGTTTCCTGAACCAGGTCTTCGTAGGTCCATCCAGTCGTTTCCTCTCGTAATATTTCTGATACTCCTTCCTTGCTTGTCTTTCGGACTGTTGAGATCTTGGTATCTTGAAGAAGGATGAGCTTCCGATTTCGAGGGTCCAATAATGCCTTTTTTGCACCAGAAGCCCTGTCCTTTGGATTGGCGTAGCGGAAGTCGTCGAGATTGAAAAACTCACTCTCTGAATATGGACTCGAGGAGAGTTGCGTACGTGTAAGATGCAGAAGTGCGCTTGTGCCATCTACCAACCAGCCTCGGCGATCTCTCACATCATAGATTACGACCTTGATACTGTGTGCGTGGAGAATCTGGAGTTGATATAGACGTGCATGAGAGAGGTGGATTGGAATGTTCTGGGTGCCTTTGGTGAACGAGGCCTTGCCCGTTATTATCTTGCCTGCACCAATAGAGAATTCGTCCAAAGTAACTCCAGCTGAGGCAAAATTGGATCCAGCCCAATCTATTTCGTCGTACTTCGCTTCCTTCGTTCCTAGCTATATATCAGCTTTGAAATGGGGAGATGATTTGAACACAACTTACCAATATGAACCTCGACAGAAGAAGCCCAGCCAAGAAAATTCCTTGATTGTTCCAAACACCCTATATCAACCTCTTTGATTCGGGCACGCCCTCCGCAAAGGATATCAGCTGAAAGATATGACATCCTCTTTCCATCGTGACTAAAAAGATAGTGCCATAAAACAGAATCTTTAATCCGTTTGGTCGGACAGAACATTGTCGAGAAACCTTTAATTACAAGTCCGCCGCCAAAATTTGTTACCCGAGATGCTTGACTTAGTCCTGCCATCATGTCGAGAGCTATTTCCAAGCCTTTCTCTCCGTGGGCTCTAGCTAGAATTGGATAGCCTTCGACAATGATAGGGTTCTTGAAGAGGGGACGCCAGCAGGACCCATTTGTCTGCGCTAATGGGTGAGCGGGCTCAATTTCCCTAATTTGAAAATTGAAAGTGAAAGTTGGCGTATTGCCAGTTGATAAAGTGACTGACGGGGTCGAATATGCCATCCTATGATCAGAAGGTGAGGAACGTAAGGCAGCAGCTAGCCATGCCAACTGCTGTCCGATCTCTGCTATTGCCGGTTCTGTAGCTACTACCAATGCAATGGTGACTGAATCTCGGACCTCGATGGTAAGTTTCGTCTTGTCGGTCATTATCGCTACGCAAGAGTGATCAGCATGGATTTTACATAAACCCCAAGTGCCACTCACCTTTGAAAGCTTGCCCCTCGCCCTTATCCAGAGCTCCTTGCAAGGCAAGTAAAGTCTCCATTCCTGTCACTGGCCAAACTTGGTCCATGTATTGGGCACAGGTCATTGCCTGTACATTATCTCCGGATCCAACCACTGTGATGAGAGATTCAAGCTGTGCTTCATGCTCATCGGGATATTTCGCCTGAAGGAACCCACGCAAGTCCCAGGAGAGTTCGAACCGAGCTTTATGTGCAGCTTGACCATACTTAGATTTCACGGATGCTGAGGCCAGACCGTTGAGTATTCGTTTCTTGATCGTATCCGCCGGGGTTCCGGCTATCTTAGTGAGTAGCACCTCAGTTCTTATTCTACTTAGAAGCCATTGATAGGAATGGCTGTCAGTAAGAAATTTCCAAGCTTCGGGAAATTGAGTAATAGCGTAGAGCCCCTCGACTTCTTCGATATCCTGAATATCCTCAAGCCCCTCCTTCTCTTCGATGATAGTCGGATCCGATACTTCAGCAGCGAGCGCGGCTTGAGGTTCGTCGATGAGAGGCTTTTCAACATTCCATAGGAGAATTTTTTCAGCCAGGCTGACTTCGTCTTGGTTTTTCACCTTTGTGCTTTCTTCTTCGATCTCTTCGGGCTCTTCGATCTCTGCCTTTTCCGAAACAAGAGAAGCTTCTGCCAGGCCGGCAATCAAATTTGCAATACGGCTTAAGAAAATTTTGTTAGTCTGATATTCGTAAAAGAGAGTTTTCTTGCTTTTTCGGCAATGAGCTCTCCTGACTATCGCAAAGAGAGTCGAGGAAGAAGAGGCTCACTGTCTATAGTGGCGAATAAAAGTAACTGCATTCTTCTGCTCCCCTGCGTATGCTCCCATCCCGAGTCTAAGAGAAAAGTCTTTCAGCAACTCAACAAGGGTGTTCCGCATTGAGGTTTTGTTGTCAACTTTGGACAAAACTCCTTGAAGTCTTTGGGTTATTTCGCGAGAAAAGGCGGCTACAAGTTGCTCTTTGACATCTTTAGGAACATCAAAGTCTTGATTGTCAGTACAAACTGTACGGGCATCGTCTTGCTCTTCATCTTTAGCATCTTTGGCAGTGTCTTCATTCTTGCCTGTTGAAGCGTAACCAGAATCCGTGGCTGGTGGGCCAGTATTTAATGCCCCCAACTCTGTTTGTGAGTTAATGCAATCAGATAATTGAGTATCTGAGCTGATGTTCTGTATATATTGGTCGTCATCCATACTCTCGGTTTCACGCGGGGAATCCGATACGCCGATGGCTCCTTCGGTATATTCTATATCTTCTTCAAATGGAGGATTTCGTGGTTCTTCTGGAACAAGCAAATTTGGAGATAGATAATTCCCTGATTCAAAGCGAACGTGTGGTGTGCTGTACCCTGAGCCCTGGTGTAAGCTGGGGAAGGCGGGAGGGAACGTGGATGCTGCGAAATCTCTATGTTTAGTCCTCGGAGGAACAGACTCGAATGATAAGTCGGGAACAGACTCGAATGATAAGTCGGCTTCCATACGTGGATAAGTTTTAGGTGCTTCACGCCGCCATCTTATCCCTGTCGAAGGCCGTTGAGGACGCTGTGATAGCACTTCCCTCAACTGGGGGTCATCTTTGTCTCTGTCCACGTGATGAACTCTCACATGTCTAGCGTGCAAGTCAGCAATAGTCCCGTAAAGTATCTGGGCCTATGGAGATATTGACCTTTGTAAGATATCCGGCCTGGGGTATTTGTGCTCCCTGTCAGGGCAAAAAGGGCAAATATATCCAGGAGAATCGTGGACGAGTCCATGTCGAATCATCTCATTCTTTCTCTTAAAACCCTTGCCATCTTTACTACGCGGGCAACCTTTTACGCTACAATAATGAGGACGATTTGATGAATGAATATTGGCATGGGAGTTTAAGAGATACTATAAGCAGTTAGATGTTGCAAAAGAGTAACAAAGGACACTACATACCTGGGTTTGAAAAGGCAGGGCAGTGCAGCCTGGGTATGTACATTGGAAACCACCGATTTGTGGATTGATGATACCGTCAATACTCATCCGGTCAATGGCCATTGTCGTAGGGGTGGAGCCCCCCTGATCCGTACTTGGGGTCTCCGTGTTGCTACTGCTATAATCGCCATAGCCAGAGTATTGTGGACCATCAGTCTGAGACAATCTTCGATGGCTATTTGCATTGAAGTAGAAGTGGTCTCGGCCCGGTGAAGGTGGTCGCGCTGGAGGGGACCGTGAAAAGGCCGAGTCCCCAGCTGCAGCGGCCTCGGCGAGGTAATTAATATCTCCCAGTTGGGCAGAAATGGATGGCCGAGTAATATTGCGAGTAATATTGCCTGTACCATTGAACATTGACAAGGCTAATTGTTGGGCGTATTGACGATTGGGTGACAGTTCCCCGGCCGCAGGAGAGCCGGACATCTCGCACTTGATTGCTGGGTCCCGCGAAGACTGCGATCCTGGCTCGTCCATGTATAAAGTTGATAGTGGAGGTATAGTTGGCTGCCTCAATGCATCTGAGGTCAGGGCAGCAAGATCGTTTCCGAGAGACGGAGACGTCTTACGTGTTACCTGTTCGATAACTCGTTCCTCTTCGTTGGACTCATAGTCGCTTCCAGCGAGTTCCTGTCCAAAATCCCATCCACCTGGGTCAGGCTCATCGTAGAATAGGTCATATCGACCATCGGACACTCTATTTGGACCAGTGTGGTCTCCTCCTTCGTAATATTGACCATCCGTGAGGGGAGCGAAAGGGGGTGGAGATGGACTCGGTTGGATATTTACTTTTACCGGCCTCAAAGGAGGGCTATTAGTAAGACTGATATTATCAGGGTCCAGGTACTCATAGGGGCCTGGATCGTATAATCCATCCGTCATTGTGCAGGGTTGGGATCGAAATTGTGATGTGTATTTGTCAAATTCCTCACTTACCGTTCTTCCTTGTTTTTGGCTTGGCTTAGATTAGGAGAGCAGCAATGGGATGCATCGACAGACGTAGAGCCGAGATGTCGTTGGAATTGAAAACGTGGTGGAATTTAGCCTATTAGTCAGCCTGTGGCGGCGTAGCGGTGCATGCGAGCTTGTATGTTCGCCTCGTTTTTGCGAACCTGCTGTCTAAATCTCCTCAAGGCAATCGAGGACTAGGCAGCCTATTAACGAGATTCGCGGGATAATTCCTCGCATGATCACGAGTTGGACTCGTACATGAAACGAGAGAAGCCAAAGCATGACCCTGCCTTGGAAGTTCAGACTTCGAGGTTCACGGGCTGAATGTGTAGAAGGACGGATTCCTCTTATTTTAACGACTATCTTGCTGCCACAATTAGATTGAGTAATACCCCGTGGATTTTATATCTCTTTCCCCTCAAAATTAGAGCCTGGAAATTAGTTTACTAGAGTATTAAATTATAAGTAATATTCTATATATTCTTCTTGTAAGATTACTTATATTTCCTTTAAATAAAGACAGTTATATTATTATAGTAATTTCTTTTAATAATTTTATAAAAACGAGATATTTAATTTTAAATTAAACCAGACTTTTAAAAGTTGTAATAGCAGAATTAATATATATAATAGTTAAAGGCTCAAAGCTCAATAAATCTCATATATTGAAAATACTAAGCTAGAGAGCAAAGAAGGAAGAAATGCCTCGACCTTTAATATTACTTTGCCCATGCCTTCTGGCTTAATTCCTGACGCAATGCAAAATGCGCTCTCTGAGGAGCATAAATTGAGTACTCCAGAGGAGCTTATATAGGGGTGAAACATGCCTAGGAGCTAAACCCCTGAACACATGATATATGCACGCACAGGGCACTGAGGAGGGGGCCTCAGTGCCATGTAACAAATATTATTTAACTTAGCTTCCTTGGTTTTCACCGTTTTATCTACACCTGTTCTTTCAGTCTCCTTACCTCGTCAATCTCAAGATAGCCCAGCAGTACAAGTGCTGTATGGCACATATTATGGTGTACACAGCCCTGAATACAACCAAGATTTCTTTCTCGGCATACCCTATGCGGAACCTCCGGTTAGTGATCTTCGATTCCGGCAAGCTAAATCTCTGAACATGTCCTGGTCTGGAACAAAGAATGCCACTAGAGTGCATGCGACTAGTGATTGTTGCGAGAGCGAGGGGTCGCAGCGCTGTGCTCGGGCCAAGCTGCCTTGCTTTGCCAGCTACTGGCTCGCATCTAGATACGGAGATCGCGGCATAAAGTATCGGGAATACAGGGCATTATTTTATGAAGGCCACTAAATGCCCTGTAAGGTCTTACTTTAATCTCCCTGTAGCTAGTCCCAGTCCCCTGTAAGCCCCTATAAGCTTACTAAAAGTGCCCTGAAGGCTTAATATGGGCTTATGCAGCTTGACAGGTGCTGAACGCCCCCAAACGCCCATAAATATAGGCGAGTCCACTAATTAATAGCGAGTAAAGGGGGGGTAATTAGCCCTAATGCACACCTCTTCACACACACTTGGTTCTGAATTCTAATTCTAATTTATTAAACACACTTCATTGCTTTTCACTTTTAGTTTGATTATTATTATGGCTACTTTTGGAGGTCTATTTGACTTCCCTGACTTATCAGATGGCCAATCAGAGCTCTCCTCTCCTCCCAATTCGTCAGATGACGAACATACCGAAGATGAAGAGGATGCGTAGTATAATTTACCGTCAGATTCGGACGATTCAGACGATGATTCAGCTGAACCAGCCCTTCCATTACCCGCTTCGTCAACTGCTTTTGTACTTGCTACTCTTGGGCCCAAAGAGTACTCCACTGGTGCCAGAATCAAGGCTATTTATATGCTTGAGGACAAGAAGTCTTTGGGACAAATCAAAGAAGCTACAGGAGTACCCAAAACAGCTCTTTATCGACTCGCAGCTGTGGCTAGGGAGCGTGGATGGGTAGAGAACAAGAATATGCCTTTGGAGGTCTCCCATGTACTCAATGCACCAAGATCTGGTCGACCTGCAATCTTCTCCGAGGCAATTAAGTGTGTTTTGAAAGTTGTTCTTCAAAATTCTACTACGAGAGGCTTTTCTTGTATAACGATTGCAAAAGAAGTAAGAAAGCGGGGTCATGAGATTGCACCAAGAACAATTTGGAAGGTTCTTACGCATGCAGGCTACTCTCAATGTAAATTAACGGTCAAACCTGGTTTAAACGAGCTAAATATGGCGGAGCGATTGGCTTGGTGTTTGGAGAGAGAGCATTAGATACTTGAGGAATGGAAGGATGTCATTTTTACGGACGAAACTGCGGTGTAATTGGGAAGTACGAGAGGAAAGAGAAGAGTATGGAGATTACCTGGAGAAGCGTATAATAAGCATTATATAAAACGATATTGGAAAGGCTTTTCTGAATTTATGTTCTGGGGATCGTTTTCATATGACAAGAAGGGGCCTTGCTATGTATGGGAGAAGGAGACTCCTCAAGAGAAGAAAGAGAGAAAGGCTGATTTGGATGCGAGGAATTCGTTAATTGAGAAGGCGAATAAACAGAAGTGGGAAAAGGAGCAAAGGAAGTGGCTAAGGGATTGGATAAAGGCATATGGACGGGCTCCTGGAGGGATACGAAAAACTTGGAAGTACAATGAGGCTACTGGTGCATTTGTGGTAAAGAATGGTCGAGGCGGGATTAATTAGTACAGATATCAAAAGAAGATCCTCATTGAGAAGCTTTTGCCCTTTGCAAGGGAATGCCAAAAGGATCGACCCAATATGATCGTTCAGGAGGACAATGTACCAGTATACAAATCTCATTACCAAGGAGCAGTTTATAGCTTGTAGAGGATTATGAAAATGCTCTGGCCAGCAAACTCACCTGATCTCAATATAATTGAGAAGGCTTGGTTTTATATGAAAAAGGAAATAACGAAGCGGGGGCCAACGACTGATAGAAAGAAGCTCAAAGCAAGGTGGGAGAAGTGCTGGCAAGACTTACCCCAAAGTAAGATTCAGGAGTGGATTGAGGCAATTCCTCATTACGTGAAAGAGATAATTCGTTTAGAAGGGGGTAATGAGTATAAAGAAGGGAGGAAAAAGGGGGAAGAGAAAATTACTATATATTAGAATCAAAGTTATCAAAAAACAATCAAAATCAGAGGCTTATCAAGCAATAGCGGGGTAAGCCACACTTTCAGGGGACCCTTACAGGGCTTACAGGGAACCAGGAATAGCTACAGGGAGATTAAAGTAAGACCTTACAGGGCATTTAGTGGCCTTCATAAAATAATGCCCTGTATTCCCGATACTTTATGCCGCTATCTACGTACTTGCCCTGTATTCGGGTGGCATCATATACTCACCAATTACCAACTGGCCAGAATTTAGCAATTATCAAACGTATTAATCCAATACGAACTTACTAGATGTCCATTCTCGCAGTTATACCAATGGCAATGACCTGAATGAGTCGTAATGCCCTGAGAACCACTAATTATCGCAGCCTTGATCGCGTTAATCTGCCTATGACTTCGGACCCTGGGCAGCCTCGCTTACGTGGCCGCTGAACGGCACGTAGACTCTAGGCAACAATATCACGTCAGTTAAAGCGCATTATATGATCGCTTTCTATTCCGCTCTTCTGATTATAACCCTAAAATATCAACCGTAACCTGTATACACACCAAATTATATCGACACTTCTATTCTATAGCTTCTACGGTCACAGTGTACCCTGGAATGCGTCACACACCTAACAGTTGTCTACGCACGGCGTCCGACGTGCGCAGGGGGATACGCAGCAAAACTGCCTAATCAATCCTACAGATGAGTCGGTCCTGGATGGTATTGGGACCTAATATCGCAAACCCTTATTCCAAAGGGTCGGGGTTGCTGGGGCCAACACGATTAACGTCCAAACGGCTTTCAACGAGCACATCAAGCGCCATTTCTTCTCCTGCCGATGCTGTTTGCGGTAACTGCTCCGACCTGGATCTCCCTGGCATCTTCGCGGGTGGTTTTGTGATTGAAAATGGATTCATATCACGAAAAAGTCAACCTTTCGCTAGATGGCTCTGGCAAAAAGCGGAGAACTGTCAGTTTTGCAACTTCTTGGAAAGAGCCAGTGCATTGCGCCGCACTTCTCCTTGGTTTCAACGAGATAACGCGCACCTCAAATTGAGATGGTTGAAGAGAGAGCCGAGTGAATTGTTCAATTTTGACGAGGAGGAAGTGATTCTTCGTTTGGCCTGGGACCCTTCTATTTCAGAGGACTCGGGTCATCTTCACAGGAATATCTCGTATTGGGATCAAGTCCTGCTTGGCTGCTCAGCATCAGACGATTATCTTGGGCTCCAGCAGCGGGATTGTTCGATCGGGGTGGTAACACCATATATAGAGTCACTCGAGACTCTGAGAAACAGTATTACAATATGTGAGAAAAGCCATTCGTGTCTAACTAGCTCCAAAGATATGCGAGAGATCCCATCCGTTCCAGCCCGAGTCATTGATTGCACGAGTCGTCAGGTGGTCACGGCTCCACGGGCCTGTCGGTATCTGGCTCTAAGCTATGTTTGGGGAGACTCGAAGAAGCCTCCATCCGTAAAGATTGGTGAGACTCTTCCTGTTTTGCCTCAGACTATTGAAGACGCGATCGCAGTTACTTCAAGTCTTGGCTTTCAGTACTTGTGGGTCGACATGTACTGTATCCTTCAAGACAATGACGAGGACGTTGGCAATCAAATTCGACACATGGACCTTGTCTACCGCAGAGCTCAGGCAACCATAATTGCAGCGGCTGGGAGTGACCCTACTTTCGGTCTCCCAGGCGTGAGCTCTGTCCGAGGAATCCACCAGGCTAGCGTCAAAATGGAAGGAATCTCACTCGCTACCTTTCCGTACGATCCTTGGATGCCCGTGAGGAATTCCAATTGGGAAAACCGAGCGTGGACCTTTCAGGAAGGCCTATTCTCCCCTCGGCGAATATTCTTCACAGCAGAGCAGATTATCTTCAACTGTTCTGTTGGATGGCACTGCAAAACGATCCGCCCGACTCAACGAATTAAGGTCACGGGCGCAATCAATTCTCTGAATTTCTGGCCGTCGTTCTGGAGTCCCCAGTGTCCGGATTGGGCGATCTTTGATCTGATTGAGAAGTACAGCTCTCGTCAGCTGACTTTTACCGGGGACATTTTGAATGCATTCTTGGGAGTTTTACGTGCCGCTGAGAACCTCCCTTCCCCTGTCAGACATCATTGGGGCATACCAATACTGTCCCCTGAAAGAGGTGCCTTAGGAAGTTTTATCTTCGGTTTATTATGGACATTTACTCAATGGAAACCACAAAAAATGCGCCGACGAGATGATTTCCCCAGTTGGTCTTGGCTTGGATGGGAACGTCCCGTAATTTATAGGGAGCGGTACACTGAACCCACGAGATACCTACCACCCCCCGACTTCTGCGTTAGTATCGAGCTCCTTAATGGATCCACAATCTCATGGGCAGAATTTGAGAGGGCATTAACAAGCGACCGATCCCCTTTGCCAACGACAAAATTCCTCACCATTGAGGGATGGACTGTACCCGTCAAGCTGAAATTTTTGAAGCGGAGACATTTCAAACCGACCATGGGCTCATTCTTTACCGTCTACGCCGATTTTGGAGCAGAAAGCCAGAGTGGCTCGTGTTTTGATATACATGTCAACAATGTCAACAATGGTCCTAATGATGCAGAATATCCCGAAGTTGAAGGGGTGGCGAAGGTTTATAACGGAATCGGCATCCCACTACACTGCCATAGCAAGGTGAACCACAGATACCCAATCCTGATTCTTGTGCAAAGAGATTCATTCTGGGAACGAGTGGGTGTATCTTTTCTGGACTCTTGGCAAGCGGGTCAGTCTTTAATAAAATTAGAGCAACGGAAAATTCGCCTTGGATAAAAATCGAATGCAATATATCAAAATACTGGATATCTAGAATCGTTGCTCAGCGGTTATGACTCGTCCGTGCGAGAGACGTTGTTATTGCTGGACGTTTCCCAAATACCAGGGTTTGCGGGTAGCTCCACTCGACCAACTACGGGCTGATTTAAAAAAAAATGACCCATGAATCCTGGGGCTGGACCTTCATTCTCCTTCCGCTGTTCATTATAAACCTCCTTACAACGTTGCTTGAGCCACCCTCGATCCGCTATGACATTGTCATACATATAGATGCAATTCGAAGGGGACATTCTTGCTAGCATGCTAAAGCATGGCTCGCTGATATCTGGCGAGAATATCACACTATCTCAAGCTGCTCTTGTCTGACTTGGGACACCTTTGAGTCTTGAAATCAACTCCTAATTGATCTAGCTTGTTCTATGTCGTTTGAACATAATTCCAGAGATGTGTAGCCCTTCGGGGTACACCTTAATGGCTTCTAAAACTCGGTGGAGATGCCGCGAGGTTGAGGACGATCCGTCCTCTCTCATCCTTTACTTGCCCGAAGCTTTGCTAAATGCTATCTAACCGTGGTGTCTTCTTTTCCTAATACCTCCTCGCACTCGACCAAACGTTCTGAGTTCTATTTGGCCTTGAAATCATCCAAGTCGTTATCTATACAGCTTGACTAAGCTGCTCCCCTATCCAAGGACTTCGCAGCTTCCGTGAATTCCTTTTCCGATTTTTCACGAGTTGGCAAGAGCATAATGGGGTTTCGGACCGTCGAGAGTATTACCCAATCTGGAGATGCATCAGCTGGGACTGGAGCTGCGGAAAGCGTCTTCATGTATTCTTGAGCCATATTATTGATGGTTTTGGCTCCACCCCTCTAGCCACATCAGGCTAAAATCATCATCTGCTGGGGGTCCAAACAGCTATATCATTGCACATTCATACATCCAAGAGACTAACACCCTCCCGTGACCCAATCAACGCAATTCACGCCCTCTTCACTGAGCCTCACATTTCCCATCTTCACCAAGTCTCGCATTTCTCATATTCTTTCTCATACTTCTCTGTTTTAATTTACACTTGGCAAAATCTTGTTTCTGGCGTCTAGAGATGCTCAAATTCGGAAAGCAGAAGGTTTCTTCACGCCTCGAAATTCGAGACAGTGATTGTTTTCTCCTTTGCAATCGCCTGGGGCTATGTCTCGGATCCTTTGGTTTGGAGAGAAGGCTAGCTTCCAGTACTTCTATCGTCAATCGAACTTCATAGGCGTCACAACCCAACGATTACATCGAGACCTACAGGATCTTGAAATCTCACAACGTTTTGTGCATATCTTCACATTGCGGAATTGTATGGCCTCAATTCGTCTTGGCAGGCTCTTCTTTACGCTTCTGGAGTGTCAAGCGCCAGCTAAGATGCACTTTCAAAAGTTGGCTTGCTAAGATGCCGGAGACCGGGGATTCTTACAAGACGGGAAATCTCACAAGGCGCTTGACAGCAGCAAAGCATCACGCAATACCTCTCGCACCCTTTAATACTCTTCTACACTTCAAATCGATACTGTCATGATATTTATAGCTGCACTCCCATGAGTTCCGTATAACTCATTCCTTTCACATGCGGCGCCAGGGGAACCTGCGCGCCATCGACCAAGGCAGTATTTCGTGAGCAATGACTACAATCTGAACATGCAAGCTCAACGCCGCCATATTAACATTGGGCTTCAATTCTAAACAGTTCTTTCTCGCAGAATCTTTGAATGCCACAGCCTCGCGTTGCATTTACCATAATGGCTAGGAAGCACATTCACGGCAAGATACTTCTCAATATGAACTCGTCGTCTATTTTATCCAGAGTTCATTCTCCTCTACTCGCATCGGCCTTCTCCAGGGCCTGTTCAGGTTGCATTAATCCGGAATATATGTTAGTCGTTATTACCAGCCAAAGCAAGTCCACTTTACCTCCAAACATCTGCATCTTGCAGGTGCATTGCCTGCACTTTCCGCATTTGGTTTATACATTTATTTACAGCGTTTGGGTATAGTTTTAGACGCTCCGCTCGCCAAATACGCACAACGTTCCACAAAGACCAGAGCAAGTTCTATGCTACATCAACGCCCATATCTTTTGGGGGTCAAGAGTGCAGTTGTTGTTTCAGCGACATCACGTTTGAACGGCAAATTACAGCCCTGACCCAAAGTTTCAAAGATGTCCGTGACCCCATGCGTAAGGCTGCTACCGGGACGTTAATCCGGACCCGATTCCCGTGACCATAATATATCTGATTCAAAGGTGCAGCCCCTCAAAGTTTCGCAAGATGTCTCAAACCTAAAAGTTAGCGTTTCCTCTTGCTTTCAGCGGCTGCACTCGCTGCGAAAGAGGTGCAGCCTGTTTTGGCATAAATACTATTCAATGTCAATACCCACATCTCCTTGAGATTGCAAGTTCATCTTTTCTACGTCCTGCCGTAAAGTTTAGTGACCGATGTCGTCATTTGATTCTAATTACAGAGGCAGCACTCGACCTTGAGATATAGCTGTCACTAAAGCAGCTAAACCCGCCACGGTATTAATATTAATATCTTTTCAAACTTACGAGTGCAGCCATCCTGAATCTCAAATTACATTTGGTGAGCTAATAACTAAAAATGTACGAAATTTAAAGGGCTGCACTTTCTCTAAAGGTATAGCTGCCACTCATAGCTACTAAATCGCCACGATATTAATGTTAATATCTTCTGGAACTTATAAGTATTACTCTCGTATTTCTCAAATTATGTTTTATAAGCTAATAGCTAAAAATGCAAGAAATTTAAAGGGCTGCACTTTCCCCAAAGGTATAGCTGCCACTAAAGCAGCTAACCCGCCACGGTATTAATATTAATATCTTCTGGAACTTACGAGTATAGCTATCCTGAATCTCAAATTATATTTTACAACCTAATAACTAAAAATGCACGAAATTTGAAGGGCTGCACTTTCCCCAAAGGTATAGCTGCCACTAAAGCAGCTAAACCCGCCACGGTATTAATATTAATATCTTTTCAAACTTATGAGTGCAGCCATCCTGAATCTCAAATTATATTTTGTGAGCTAATAGCTAAAAATGCATGGAATTTGAAGGGCTGCACTTTCTCTAAAGGTATAGCTACTACTAATAGCTACTAAACCGCCATGATATTAATATTAATATTTACCGGAACTTATAACTATAGACCTTGCATTTCTCAAATTGTATTTTGCAAGCTAATAGCTAAAAATGCATAGAATTTGAAGGGCTGTACTTTCTCTAAAGGTATAGCTACTACTAATAGCTACTAAACCGCTACGATATTAATATTAATATTTACCGGAACTTATAACTATAGACCTTGCATTTCTCAAATTATATTTTGCAAGCTAATAACTAAAAATGCACGAAATTTAAAGGGCTGCACTTTCCCTAAAGGTATAGCTACTACTAATAGCTACTAAACCGCCACAATACTAATATTAATATTTACTAGAACTTGCAAGTATAGCCCTCTCAAATCTCAAATTATATTTTACAAGTTAATAACTAAAAATGCATGGAATTTAAAGGGCTGCACTCTTTGCAGAAGTATAGCTCCTACTAATAAGAGCTAAACCGCTATAATATTAATATTAATATTTACTGGAACTTAAGAGTATAGCCCTCCCAAATCTCAAATCATGTTTTCTAAGCTAATAGCTAAAAATGCATGGAATTTAAAGGGCTGCACTTTCCCCAATGGTATAGCTACCACTAATAGCTACTAAACCGCTGCAATATTAATATTAATATTTACTAGAACTTAAAAGTGCACCCTCCCAAATCTGAAATCATGTTTTGCAAGCTAATAACTAAAAATGCATGGAATTTGAAGGGCTGCACTTTCCCCAAACACATGGCTCCTACTAATAGTATTACAAGCTGGCCTAGTATTAATATTATTATTTACCGGAACTTAAGAATATAGCCCCTTCAAATCTCAAATTATGTTTTGCAAGTTAATAACTAAAAATGCATGGAATTTGAAGGGCTGCACTTCCCCAAAGATATGGCTGCTACTAATAGTATTGGGAGCTAGCCTAGTATTAATACTTCCACGCTTCACTGCCTCAACCACATCTCTAATCTGCGAGTGCAGCTTCTCACCGCATTATCAGATTATCGCTATACCAGGACTAATATCTTCTTATAATTCCGGGAGGTATGCTCTAGTATTTCTCATTGCTCTCATATATCTCCTTGCCCCGCCCCAGGTTCATTACTTCCCAATTACATCCCCAACCTGCAAGTGCAGCCTTCAAGCGACCCTTTGCAGCTTTCTGAACTCTCAGGGACTGCGTTTTTAATATTTCCCGTTATCTCTAATAATTCCCATGGGCTGCGTTCACGATTCAAGAGTAGCCATTACCAAGTCCGCGGCTTACAGCCAGCTTGCAGTTAATTACAGCCGCATTCTTCTAGTGCAGCCTTTCTAACTTTTAGGTATTGCATTTTAGATGTTCTTGATTGTCTCTAGCAATTCTTATAGGCTATATTCACGATTTAAGAGTAGTTGCCTACAAATTCTGCCCGCATTATTGACCGACTCATGGCTAATTACAACCGTACCGGAAGTGCAGCCCTTGAATACTCTCGCAAACTTTACTTTACTCACGAAATAGCCATACTATAAAATCTCAGAGGCTGCACTTCTCAGTTATAGTCTCTCTTCGCTAGGACAAGAACAAGTAGCAATAGTATATTAGCGGGAACATTACTCAACCATGCAACTATAGGACCCTAAAACCAGTAAGAAACATTAAGAGACACTGGGGAAACTCTTATATAAATGCCAGAGCTTGCACTACTCATAAAAAGTCTGTATGCTTTCTTTTATAATAAAGACAAGCAGTATAGTAACCTAGCAATTACATTACTTATTTATGAGAGTATAAGACCCAAATCCCGTGAGAAGCATTATTAGGCTTTGGGAATATTTTACTACAAACGGTAGCACCTGCACTACTCACATGAAGTTTATAATCCCTTGCCTCTAGCATGAAAATTTGCGCATATAAAATGCCAGTAATATTAATACTCGATTATACAAGTACAGGACCCCAAATCTTGTAAGAAGCTTTATTAGGCATTAAGATAATCTTAATATAAATGTTAAGGCCTGCACTACTTATATAAAATCTGCATTCTCTTGTCTTGAGTGTGAAAATTTGCGTATATAAAATGCCAGTAATATTAATACTCGATTATACAAGTACAGGACCCCAAATCTTGTGAGAAGCTGTATTCGGCATTGAAATAATATTAATATAAGTATTAAGGCCTGCACTAGTCAAA